GAAGAGAACCGCATTTGGGAAGACGGGATGGCTTGACGACGCTTATCTCAACACTGGTTCCCAAAATAGTGATTAGAAAAGCTGTATGACTTATAAACGACACAGAAGGAGAAGAGAAGAAAAGAAGAAAGAAAAAAGTCGCGAAGGCTTCCAGTGCTGATGCAAGGATAGGCAACTGTGCGACCAAGATCGAGGTTGTTTTGGCAACAAGGGGCCGCTTAGTCAGCATTGGCTCCCGGATCTTGAACTTGGACCTCACTTCATCTTCTTCTGGATTGCTGAGTTGGCAGTGGGATATCATCGAGGAACCAGCAGAGTTGGAGATTGTCTACTGATACAGGCTTTTCAATATCAATATCTTCAAGTCTCAAGTGTCATCTTTGCGACAAATTACACTGCTGTGACACATATCCATATCGTATTCTGCGCGATACCTTCCCTCATACGCCGCATCTTACTCGATCAAATGTTCTAGCAAAAAGACCTCCAGCAATTCCTAACTTATACGCTGCTGTGGATTTGGATCCCCCATTGCGGCAGGCTAAAACGACGTATCGTTTTTGAACACTCTTTCTAAGAAGTAGGCAACGAGTTTCGGCCGAGGGACATCGTGGACTCCAGAGCCCCAGGACGACTAGTTGTGGAGTTTCAGGGCAGACCTTTCAACAAAAAACTAACTAACTAACCGAAGACAGCCATGTTCAAATCTCTATGCAGAGAAGCCTGGGTTCTCGTCGCATTTATAGCAATTACGACATGCCCACGAATTGATTCGCGGTTTTGATTTAACTCCATTCGGATGTAGGCTCGCGCATAGCCAGCCATTGCCGGCAAAAATGATTACTTATTTCGTTTATCGCATAATCTCAGGTCATATAATTTATCGGCTATTTTCTCTCATGGATCTTGTCAAGCATATCCCTCATCCATTCCTTCAACGTTCGAGGTTGTTGATAGGTAGCCGGATCGAAAAGTGGTTTATGTTCCTCATGAACATTGTGGTCGTCTTCATAATCAACATGGACGAATGCTCGTTCTACTGCGGCCAGGCCCTCCAATTTCCGCTGCAAAGACTGGCTAACGTCGTGAGAGTCTCGAAGCAGAGTACTAGGATCCATGATAATATCCACCTCAACATAATATAGCTCCCCAGCGTGATACGCTCGACACTAAATTTAGAGAATCATGTTAATCGGGTCGCAAGCAGCACAAGAGACCAACGCGGAAATGCCCAGGGCAACTATGGCTCGAATGTTCTAAATGGGGCGGGATGCTTACAGTGTCAACTTTCTGGATCCGAACGTCATGCGTAAGTGAAACGTATATGCATTTATTGACGAACTCTCGGGGTGCAGATTTGCCCACAAGCAACCACACATTCTCAAACGCGGTGGAGACCCACGAGAAGAGGATCAATAGGGCAATGCAGATAGCACCGATCGGATCGAGGTACCAAACAAAACGGTCACCAACCACGGACATGACCAAACCAAAAACATTGACGGCCAAGTCGTTTCGATGGTCGATGAAAAAAATTCGTGCAGCTGGATACCGGCGGAGCCAGAAGCAATAGCAGAATAGGCAAAACTTAGAGAAGATTGCGATGCCTACGAATACGAGTGGGATGATTTGCAGCTCTTCACCACCCTCCGATTCGCCACTTCCCAGTGCTCGGCCAGACTCAATGATCAACTGGATGGCAACAGTTGTCATCAAGGCACAAAATAGGATGATCCCCATTGTTTCGATCCGACGCCGCCCAACTGGGTACTTGTGGGGCTTAGGCCGAGCTGCCATTCGGGACGTTATCAACATCACGATTGATGAGACAAGATCCATAAAAGCATCTGCTGCGGTAGCAAATAGCGACAAAGACCCCGTCGAGACCGCAGCGTACATCTGAATGATAAACAAACAGAAATTGACCATGAAACTCAGGTTCACGGCCCATTTCACCTTGCTCCCGTTTTTCTCAAAGTCTTGAGCGGCTAAAGTTTCCTCGTCGTTGCTCTGAAGGAACTGATCAATGAGCGCATTCTGCCGAGTATAATATTTGTGGATCTTTCTATGATTCCCTGTCGGGTAGTCTGCCTTAATCGAGGATCGTGAGAGCGTCGACTTCTTGTGCCGACTAAGGCTAAAAGGATCTTGCGAGTTCGTTTGCGTAGCTGACGCGTCAATATTGGGGTCAACCTCGAGGATCGTGTCTTCGTTGAAGGTCACTTGATTTGAAGATGGAACACTTCCAGAAGCATCATGCATGGCATTTTCGAACCCGTTTTGGCCTTCAGGCATTGGCGCCATGGCAGCTAAACCCGCAACTGAGCAAGAAGGTATTAACGTGCTTGGCAAGTATCATAAAGTAACAAGATTCACGTCTCATATAAATGTCGCGAAAATCTGAAATCTGAAATCTGGACGGAAAACAAAGCACATCAGAATAAGGTAAGGTGGAGGGATAACGCCCAAGAGAAAAGAGCTCCCTTATAAACTGCACCGCATACCCTTTCTCTGGTCGCACTAGTTTCGACGTCATGAGCACCACCGAGGCAGTGCTCATCGCTTGCTTCATCCGTCCAACCCAGCATCTTTTGCCTCTCTCTACCCTTAACTTGGCTGAAACGCGCAATGGTTGAACGATGTCTGGTATGAAAACCGCCAAGACCTCCGCCAGATGGGCGCTAAAGCTTAATTCCCCGTGTCCGCTGCACGCCAAGACCCCTTGTCTCGGGCTTGGAAGAGACTCTTCCCCTGGGCTGAAGAATTGGCTGCACATGCCTTGCCCCAATCCGAAAAAGAGTGTTGTCTGTTTTGCCTGTTTTAAGCTGACTCAGGACCCGTCTCAAAATGCTTTGGTTTAGGTCGAAGCATCAGCGTCAAACAACTGAAAGTCTCAGCGTCAATCGCGCGCTTTGAGTCGGTTTGATCCTTGGTGTCTGGGCCGTGGGCGGCTCTGAGAATCCCAGGACCCAGGGCGACTGGAGATCTCTATTTCCTGATTAGGGTGCTGTGATCCTTGATCGGAACCTACTGGACCAGACTCCGCCTCCACGGCTTCGTCAACCCTGCTTCCTTCAACATCAGTTTTGGCGATTGGCGTCTGTTAGGGCTTTATCTCGGACTCTAGCAGCAGCTCTCTCTTGCTCGCGGCGTCGGACGGTTTCCTATTCCTCCTAACTTCACCCGTTATACGATCGTTATCTGATCAAACGAGGGATTGATTCCCTAACCAAAACAGCGCTGTCCCAGGGGTCGATGCCCTGAGCGGCTAGGTTCACCACCTGCCATCTCCATACCTCCAACGACTAGGATCCTACCTTCAATGACATATCAATGCAGGCTTGCAACTTCTTGTCCATTTCATCTTTTTTCCTTATGTTTTGACTCGGCAGCGACTTGGCTTTTCTTTCTCTTTGCGCATTGCTGGCCAATGCAAACTCGTTTATATCATTTGACTTGGGGGGTTCTGGTTATCTGATTCTCATTTTTCGATTATGACAGTTGCCGCTGGTCGGTATTTCTCTCTTCACATCTAAGGACCCAGGTCGACAATCAACATGGAGGGAATGGTTAAACCTCAGTGCGGCAGCGCGAGCGGCGAGGCCGTGGAATATGACCTCCCATTGCATGTTGCAGCCCTGTGTATGCATATCTTCAATCCTTATCTGGCGCAAAACTATCTCTGACTCTTGTTTAGTCCTCGTCTTGGGGTTCAGCACGCTCGGTATGGCCCAGAATCCGGGTTCCCTGCTGGTGGCCTTTTGATCTCATTCTTTTTGCTAGGTGCCGGCTTTCCAGTTGTAGCGAAAAAATTCCCGGGGTTGAAGATCCCGCCAAATGTATTCTTTTTCTGCAAGCACTTTGGAACTGGTGTCCTGGTTGCGACGGCGTTCGTACATGTACATTTCCTCGATGACTCGTCTGGTACTTGTTTGATGACAGATTTCTGACGGCAAAATAGCTCCTCCCGACGGCGTTCTCCTCGCTGAATGACCCGTGTCTGCCGGACCTTTTCACGGAACAATACCCTGCGATGCCGGGTGTGATCATGCTCGGTTCGCTTTTCGCTCTTTTTGCCCTGGAGATGTATATGAATGCAAAAACCGGCGGTCACAGCCATGGGGGAGCCACAGGGGAAAGCCTCAACCATCAACACCAACATCAACATTATAATGGAAATGCTGGAAACAATGGCATTTCTTGGCCAAAGGAAAACAAGGTAATGAACGACTCGTCATCGGACTACTGGTATGATGAGAAAGCGGCTTATAAGTTCGTACCAACACGACTACCTAAAAAAGAAGTAGGATATATTGTTGCTGACAACACCCTCACAGGGTTTACTCCGGCGCGAATGAATTTGAAGAATCCTACCTGAGCAAACAAAGCGAGATGCCGAGCTGGTTCATGATCTTCTACGAACAGTATGTCCGGGAGCGCGAGTGGATGCAGGCACAGCTGCGATTGTCAGCCACCCGCCGTGATGACGAGATGCAAAGCATAGAGCTCAAACCGCCAGTACAAAGCCATGCCACGGACGTAGAGGTCGGACAAGTTGATCCGGCAGTGCTGAGGAAAATGTCCCTGAATATCACCATTCTAGAAGGCGGCATTTTGTTTCACTCAGTCTTTGTCGGAATCACGGTCTCCATTGAGTCAGAGGGATTTGTCGTCTTGCTCGTTGCCATTTTATTCCATCAAGCATTTGAAGGCTTAGGTCTTGGTTCACGAATTGCTGCGGTGCCGTACCCCAAGGGCTCAATTCGTCCATGGGTTTTGGTTGTCGCGTTTGGCACGACGGCTCCAATTGGCCAGGCGATTGGGTTGATTGCTCGCAACAGCTATGACCCTAATAGTGCGTTTGGTTTGATCATCGTTGGGATATTCAACGCGATGTAAGCACGGACAAGTTCCATCCATCCGAGTGGAATGACGGGAGAGATGATTGATGCTGATCGAAACTAGTTCCTCTGGGCTGCTAATCTATGCTGCCCTCGTTGATCTTCTAGCAGAAGATTTCTTGTCGGAGGAGGCCCAACATTTGACCAAGCAACAGAAGGTTTCAGGTTTCATATATGTTTTGATGGGAGGTAAGTCAAGTTTCGACATTTCTTGTTCCAATCCGCCAACGAGAGCCCCGTTATTGGATATCAGTAGCACTGACAGGGTTCTCCACACAGCGGCCGGAATGTCCATCGTTGGTGCGTTTGCTTAAGCAGGTCCTTTCGCGTTATTAATACCCCGTAAAAATCAACACAAAACTTCGGCACATACTTACTCCAGTCTCTACTGGGTAAGCATCTGCCCTTTTGACCTTCGCTCCAGCCTTCAGGAGCAGTGAAATACCATCACAAGTCGATCCCTTCTCCGTCTTTGCTATTACGTTTCTGTCCATCTTTTGTAATCCCACAAAGCGACGCAAGCCCGGAAGGAGTAATGTCGTGCGGAAAGACACTCGAAGAAGAGAAGTCGATTCGCGCTCGGGCGGGTTTTGGGTGGGCATTCAGAAACCTTCCTGGCAGTCAGAATTCTGATTTTTGGCTTTTGTTGCGCTTTGGACTGTGCTCCGTAATCGGCTGCAGAATCTGGGCAGCCGTCTTGTCACTCCTTTCACACCAGTACCAACCGATCAGGTATTTATTATTGTACTCACATAGCCATCCAGACCACTTTCTCGGAGACTTCTGATCCATGATTCTGCTTTCGTATTGTCCCCTGCTTGTCTCATAAGCGAGCGGAGCCCTCCATGACGGCAATTGATGATATGCGCTGGAGGGGAGTTCGAGTAGATTACATAGATACCTGGTTACACACAATCCCTGTAACATTCGATACGCTCTTGGTAAACTAACCGATAGATTACACAACTCTCCGCGGTAAATCGGTGCCAATACCGCCTGGAACGAAAGCGGTGAGGGCCGTGCGACTGATCGGGAAACGAAAATCGGAGTATTTTTAGCCACCTTCCGTTTTGCCATGAAATTTCCTCGAACTAGGCCAAACCTTGGTCGATTTCGATATCAGAAGGGAAAAAAAAACCCAAAGTGAAGAGTCATAAAAGCTGTCTCGCGCTTCTCTTCTCCACTCCGACATTTATTAATAAAGACCCGTTTATTCGTGTGTCACTTGCTCTTCATCTCCTGTTCTCGACGTTCGTTCCCTTCTTTTACCAGCCATTCTCCCCTAAATATTTCAATTCTTTGTTTCCCGTCCAGCGCTTCTGCTCATCCCACCCGATACCCCGCCTTCATCATGTCTGCCAACGGCCATACCAATGGCGTGAATGGTGCGAATGGTGAGGCCATAGTCCCTTTAGGAACCCAGATCCTCATAGAAATCTATCTGCTAACACTTCTTTCTCTACTGGATCAGGTCTCCCCGACCACCCAGGATTCACAGCCATTCCAGCCCGCGAAAACCCACACCCACACACCGCAAGGAACCCATACGGCCACAATGCCGGAGTCACAGATTTCTTGAGCAATGTTTCAAGGTTTAAGATTATCGAGAGCACTCTACGGGAGGGGGAGCAATTTGCCAATGCTTTCTTCGACACTGAGAAGAAGATTGAAATTGCAAAGGCCTTGGACGACTTTGGTGTCGACTATGTGAGTCATATTTGGGAACTCTTGGCTATCTTATCGCCTACTATTGGAGCAAACCTGACATTGTATTACTAGATTGAACTTACTAGCCCGTGCGCCTCAGAGCAGTCCAGGAGAGATTGCGAAGCTATCTGCAAGCTTGGATTGAAGGCTAAGGTCTGTGCCCACGTGCCTTGTCTCCCGAGCCGAGGATAATGGCAGCTAACTGTATTGCTGTTGTAGATTTTAACACACATTAGATGTCACATGGATGATGCCCGGGTGGCCGTAGAGACCGGCGTCGACGGAGTGTAAGTCTCTTTTGTTCCTAGAATTCGTGGATGCAAAGCCTCTAATCAATTGTACAGGGACGTCGTTATCGGCACATCATCCTATCTCCGGGAACATTCCCATGGGAAGGACATGACCTATATCAAGAACACCGCCATTGAAGTTATCGAATTCGTCAAGTCCAAGGGCATTGAGGTCAGATTCTCCAGTGAAGATTCGTTTAGGTCGGACCTGGTCGAGCTTCTTTCCCTATACTCTGCCGTCGACCAAGTTGGTGTCAACCGAGTTGGTATTGCAGACACCGTTGGCTGCGCCTCGCCTCGTCAAGTCTACGAACTCGTCCGCGTTTTGCGTGGTGTTGTCAAGTGCGATATTGAAATTCACTTGCACAATGACACGGGATGTGCCATTGCCAACGCATATTGTGCTTTGGAAGGCGGCGCCACCCACGTCGACACCTCTGTTCTCGGAATTGGTGAGCGAAACGGCATCACTCCTCTCGGCGGTCTCATGGCCCGCATGATCGCCGTCGACCGTGACTACGTCATGAGCAAGTACAAGCTCCATAAGCTCAAGGATATCGAGGACCTCGTTGCCGAATCGGTCCAAATCAACATCCCCTTCAACAATTACATCACCGGCTTCTGTGCCTTCACCCACAAGGCCGGTATTCATGCTAAGGCCATTCTCAACAACCCCAGCACATACGAGATTATCGACCCCTCCGACTTCGGCATGACCAGATACGTGCACTTCGCTTCTCGCCTCACCGGATGGAACGCCATCAAGTCACGTGCGCAGCAGCTCAATCTCGAGATGACCGATGCGCAATACAAGGAGTGCACGGCTAAGATCAAGGCATTGGCCGACATCAGACCTATTGCTATTGACGACGCTGACAGTATCATTCGCGCATATCACAGAAACCTCAACAAGTCTGGTGAAGACGCTTTCCTCATGGACCTGACACCGGACGAGAAGCTTCAATTCGCAGCCAAGGAAAAGGAGTTTGCTAGACAAGAAGCATAAAGAACACTGTAACAGGTGCTCGTATTAGTTTTTCGATTTCAAAATCCACTGTTTATACCACTACTTTCTCATGTTTGTTGCTTCCTTTTTCGGCTTTTACCTTTTTTCTTAATTTTTTCGAGCTTTGGACGATGATATGAAGAATAGTTTATGAATGGGCCCCCCAGTGAGCAGGCTCGAAAACGCTGAATTGGGAGATATCCTTCTTTGAAATAAAAAATGGGAAAAAGAAGCAACACGGCCAAAAGTTCCACCTGTGTTTATTCCAACACAGTTGCGCCCCAAGAGAGGCAACAATGGGTTATTTAAAAAAGAACAAAACCAAAATAGAACAACCGGGATACGAATAAATTACAACCTTTGTTTTCGGAATAGAATAAATAATGGGATAAACTGCCCAAGAGTATTCATATTTTCAAGACAGGGGAGATCATCATGCCAACCTCATGTACTCCGTCGGGTCAGGATTCAGGGGGCAGTAGGGGCCCTTTATATGAACTAGCTTTTTCGAAAGTTTCCCGAGGGTTTCTTCTGAACCCAAGCGATACGTAAGATATCACTTGGCCTGCGGTTGCAGCATGCAATACAATCACACGTCTGTGTTCCTTGCATACTTCCCAACCAAGGTATCGATGTATGTATGTATGTCCATACATACAAGGACAGACCGTTAATAGCACCAAAGCATCTTTCCATCTGCAAAAGACGATTTCTCATTCGTGCTAAGTGTCAAAGCCATATAGCTCGGGGGTCCACCGATCTAAAATAGCAATGCGCTTCCTGTAACGACTATTCAGTTGTCAAACTAAAAAATATGGCGCTTAATCAAACGGATGTGGTGCTTGCTCCGAGTTATTTAAAAAAATATTCTGATGTCAGTTTGTCAATCTGCACCCTCCGGATGTGGTTATAGCGCTTACCATTGATGTCAATGAAGCGATGCATGCATCGTGGGACAGGGTTCGTTTCCGATTCAGCCGACGAATCTTGTATGAAGGCCTTTTGCTTCGCTTCATAGCTATCATGTCATGCCAGGCCCATTCCATCCCACGTTGTTAATCGTTTGGCCATCCAATACATCCATGTGATGGTCTTGATAGCGATTCTCATTTTGTCACCCTCTAAGACAGTAGCCTGGCAAGAACGTTATAAGGAGACAAAAGCCAAACCTTACCAATACAATTCTCCATAAAAACAACTCCTGGATAGTGGTGCATTGTAGAAGCGCGGATACTTCTACCGGTGCAGGAATTGCGCCATGCTTCAGCTCACTGCGGCTTGGAAAGCACTTCACATTTGGATGGTGGCACCTGGGTATATGGGCTTCAAGTCCTGTTCTCGGGACGGATCACGGTGTGACAGGGGAATTCGAGTTGTGGAAGGATAAGACAACGAGCAGTCCCAAGTCCATTTAAATCCCAACACCGCTCAATGGGGCCCACCGAGTCCAAAATGATATCGCACTGGCGACATCTATCCCAAATTGCATGACGCCGAAGTCTTCGTCAGGATGGAAAGAAACGAGAGGCACCGATAGGCATTCACAAAACATGCCGGAGGACCGTTGGATGCACACGTGTCATTGTCCCCTTTAAAATCGATTGCGAACAAGCAGTCCCAAACGTCTCGATGCCATAGCCAGAGAAAGACGGCAGTCTTCGAAGCACCTGCAGCTGCAGCCAAATCAACAACAGGAGCATGGGGGAAGAAGTCGTGAGGTTCTGCTGATGTCAGCACTGCATCGGGGCAAGTGTAGCCGGCTCCATCTTCGGAGTTCCATCGGCGTATTACTGATACCTCCCGATCCAGAGGTTCGCCAATGGAAACGGCAAATGACGGCTTCTGGTTGGCTGCTGTTTCGGAATCCGGTAACAATCACACGCGCCGGTGTACTGGCCGCACCGTCCCCACCATGACATCATCGTGGCTCCGAGGGCGGGGGAAGAGCTCTTTCCTTTCCCGGGTTGACTCGGCACAACAAAACAGAAGGAGCGAGAGAATAAACACAAGTTAATTAAATAAAATCAGAATATAAAAATAAGAGCAACAGCCGTAGATATCTTCTTTCTTTTCGAAAATGGCCGGGCTTCGTGCGCCAACCCTTGCGGGCTTTTCCTTTGGCGAGACCGTTGCTCGATCTCATTGGCAGGAAACGGGAAGGTTTCATCGTGCCATCGTCATCATGCAGAAGAAAAAGCGTGTGAAACGGGTGAACTTTGATGTCGAGACTTCCTCTGATAGGCGACCCAGAGCCCAGCGTTGGCCCGTGGACGCATGCTCCTCCTGGCTAACGGGGGGAGGCCGAGACCACCCCCTTCTGCGTTAATACGCCATCATGCGCCGGGGGAGAGCGATCTGGACGGTGGAAAGTTTAATATTTGGGGCCAAAACCTCATTCCAAATTGTGATTCTTGTGTTGCTTGCACCTGGCTGGAGCGCTTGGGGAGGAATGTTTTGGAAGTCCTTGTGGCTGGGAGAAAACGTTCCTTTAAAAGTGCCATTTTTGAGAAAATTGGGTTCAGCGCAACCGCCCTTGAATTACGAGAGGTTACGCTGGAGTCTGGCCCAATCCCTTTCTTATTACGTCAGTGGGAGAGGACTCGGCCCACTGCCCCTGCGCGCATAAAATGCGAGAGAGAAAAGGACACAAAGACGCGGGCTCGAGCAGTGTCCAAAGGGAGGATCACAGACGATGAGAACACATGTGTCCTCGCCAGAATTCCGTGGGGGGAGGGGGAGGTTGCTCAGTCTCACCCACAGGCTGAACATGTGTATAAAAAGCGGTCAAATGACGGATGATTCCATCAAAGGGCCTTGACAGGGAAGATGGCTGTTGAGTGATAGGCGCTCCCAGAGACCTGATATATGGAAAGCCCATAGGCCAGCCACAGGGATCAGATGCAGAAACTGCATCTCCACGTCAATCCAGAAGCACAGCGCTAAGGAGGGGGAAGCCGTGCGAAGCTCTGCTGTTCTCTTTTGTTGTCTCGTTACCCCATGGGCACCCTCGGCATCGGTTGGGTAGATCGTAGACGCTGCAAACGGAGATGGGGGTCAATCGATCACCAGGATTGTCGTTACTCCAGAGAGCCTCCCCAGTCTGTCAGCATGTAACTCAAGACCTTAATAATATTAATCAAAGATGTTCATTGTGAATAGGGTGGGTTCCAACAAGACAACTGTTGTTGTATGGTCTTCTCCACCATGATGTCTTCCTTCTCCTCCCCTCTATTTCCTTCATGCTCTCAGAGCTAGTTAATTCCTCGGTGGACCAGTGATGCCCTAGCTATTGGCCTGCAAGTGACGGCTTGTTCACCTCAATCCTTTTCTCTTTTGCACATTCTGCTCTTTCTTCTCATGCTCTCAGCTTGCTAGAACCTCATCTTCTTTGCTTTTCCCTTGTCCTTGTCCCGTGTGGATTTCTTTTCTTTTGCTCTGTTGTTTCCAGACAGCCATCCATCACTGCCTCACGTTGACCCTCTTGTGAAGGACATCTGACACACCTTATTGCGGCCCAAGATTCTCGGGAGAAGCTTGGTCTTTGCCTTATTTTCCTTTCTCACTGACCAAGATCGGAATCAGAAGTCCCTTGAACTCTGCTCTCTTCTGTCCAAAAGGTAAGGGATCTAAAAGGGTCAACTCTCCTTCGGCAAAAGCATAGTTTTCCAACCTAAACTGGGGCCAAATATTTTAAACGTTTTGCCTCTCTTTTTCTCGAACCCACATATCTCCCTGCACCTCTCGGGTTGCTGCAAAAGAAAAGAAGAAAAAAGGCCGCTTGAGAGACATTGGTGTGGAGCCGCTTCCAATTGACTTGGGCTTGGCCTCTGATCACTTGTGCCTGTTATCCCTCGCTGTGAATGCTATTAGTTCTGGGACAAGAATGTGCGGTTCTCATTGCTTGAAATTTTAGGTGTTTGGGCCCGTTGTCACTTGCTGCTGATTACCTCACTGCCTTCCCCGCTGCAGAAAATCCTCCCACCACCAACTCGCTCCCTTAGTGCCCATTGCTACCCTTTCGAACCTCACTCCCAACGTCTTTCTTACTACTCTCCGTTTCCCCTCCCCTTCACCCGCCATCCTTTGCTTTGCCTTTTTAGTATATTTCACAACCGGATTGCTTCAGTCTTGAGCAATCCTCCGCGGCATTTCCAAGCTCCCAGACCTTGCCTGTAGCGTCAAGCGGAAAGCCCCAAAGGTGAGTATCCGAAAGTGCTCTTGCTCGCGTGCAACGCCCTCGCCTCTTTAAATGTGGCAAGCTGCGTGTATTTTCGTGATGCGCAATATTCGCATGTTGCTCCGTTCCTAGTTCTACCAAGTTTGCATTGGCATTATATCAGTTTTATTGGCAGATTCTGCCCCTCACTGTCAGGAGCCTGTCCATCGATATTAACCGGCGACGATCGCTCGGGAAGTAAAAGGGCAAGACCTGGCGTGTCGTGGCAAAGCTGTGCGAAAATAAAGCTGCAATGGCACCTTCGTTTACCTTGATTCTAGATCTTTTGCTTTCAGTATTGTATTTGCCACATTCTGATTGTTCTTGTTTCGCTAACTTGGGGTAAAACATCTCTAGTTCTTGACTACTCTGTACACTCACTCCCACTTCGATTTCGTCCTCGCCTCGGTCTCTATCATCTTCTTCACCTTTCAACAACAGCCCAGAGACTTTAAAAATCATCCAGCACTAGCTTGCTTTCGAATTCCACAGTACTACTCTTAGTGCTACGAACGGGGAACTCGGTTTTTGACGACACACTGGGGATTCTTCCGGCCACTTTTAGGGAAGAGCGCGCTATCATAAAACCAATGCCATCCGTGGTTCAGTCTCCATACATTTCTTCTCGCTCCGACCCCCCGTCATCCAAGATGGCACCCTCAGCGACTCCAGCTGCTGCCAAATCGGTAACGCCCCCTCGCCCATTACTGATTTCTACTCTGTCTTGACCGTTTTCCATACTAACGGCAACATTCTCCAGACGGACGATCTTGGCCTGGACCTCACGGGCAAAGAAGATTTGTTGGATAGAACAACTTTTGAACAGATTTTGGAGATGGACGATGATGATGAAGATCGAGAATTTAGCAAGGGGCTCGTCCACGGCTTTTTCGAGCAGGCTGAGTCCACCTTTGATAAAATGGAAGATGCAATGTGAGCGCCCGCCGTATGACGTCATAGCACTAGGGTGACCAACTAAGATCCCTCGTTGGACAACTAGTGTGCTCTTCGTGTTTTGTTGTTTTTCAGCCTGGCCTTTGCTCTTTTGCTAACTAAGATTTTGTTTGCCTAGTGCTGCCCGAGATCTCCACGAAATCTCCCAGTTGGGCCATTTTCTGAAAGGCTCCTCCGCCACACTGGGACTTACCAAGGTTAAAGATGCATGCGAAAAGATCCAGCACTTTGGTGCGCAAAAAGACGAATCTGGCACTGTGGATGAACCCGACGAGACGAAATCCCTGGCCAATATTAAGAAAACGTTGACTGAGGTGAAGGATGCTTATAAAGAAGTGGCCAAAGTTTTAAGCAGTTTTTACCAAGACACCGAATCAAGCTGATCAGCTGTTTTTTTCGTCTCCTCAGTCCCCCTGTATTACTCTGCATTATACTGCGTCTCATTGTTATCTTTTACGATCTCTTATCCTACGTCCCTTACCTTCCAACTTTCCTCGCCTTTAGATCCTAGGAAAGGGGGAAGGACGGGGTCGATGAAAGCATACAGGAGTTTTCTTCATGCTCAACGACCGGGTTATTTCTCTTTCTCTTTTTATTTTTCCATTTGACCGTTAAGGAATGGCGTACTTGATATTTTCTCAGGTGATACACAAGGAGAATAAAAGATCAAAAATTTCCAGCACAGGGGGAAAAATAGGCTCCGTGAGGGGAGATTGTTTTTATTAGGTGGGGAGGGGAGGGAGATGTGGGAGAGTGAGAGAGAGAGATAAATGAAAACCTCAAGAGGAAATGAATGAAATGACCATGATCAAGTTTGCATTGTTAGCTACCTTTTCCTGTGCTTTGGGGAGTGTTTGATTTTCTACTTTGCTGTTTTTGATCAAAAAGTAAATAGGAGGGGATTGATGAGGGATGGTAACTATGATTGTATCTTTGATGTTTTGCAAGCAAACTTGAGTAACTGACTAATAGTTTTGGCCTTGGTCCAGAACTTGTTTGGTTGAATTGTGGACTTTTTTGTTTTGCCCTTGATCCTGCTCCCTGGGCAATCTCCAATATAATGCTAGAAGGAGACTCATCTAGTGATCTAATCTCATTAATGTTACATACATAACATGCGAGGCAAAGGTAAAAGCTATATACCCTCCCAAGTGCGATGCAGGTCTATACAACAACTTCGTAGCACGTTTCCTTAATCATACAAAAAGTCGCAAGGTCTGAATATCCCTTGTAACTCAGGAGGCAGGCCACCAGCCAAAATAGCCACCTAAAAATCCCCCAAGACACTTTTTCTTCTCAAAACCGGCATTGTGGTCATGAGAAATTCCCCCTTCGTTCCCAAAGAAAAATGATCTCCTTCAAAAGCAAAAAAGTAACAAAGCACGAAAGAGGAAGATTCTACCTCCAAGTCTTCAGCTTCGGAAGTTCCGTTCTAAAAGCATTTCCTTGAGATCTCTCAACCTCGTTGAACCTATCCGTATCCGCTCGCTCGTGCGGATTGTCCATATACCGGTCCGCGTCCTCCAGATCGTCCATTCGAATCGACCGATCTCGGCGTCGGCCCCGGCCGAGTCTTTCGATTTTCGATTTGGCGCCGCCGTACCCTCTGTTGCGACGGCCCATGATGCTGCCTAGCCCGATGCGGCGGTGCTTGCGCATCCCAATGCACAGTCCGCAGGCGATGATGAAGACGACGGCTAAAGAGATTGGTAGGCCGACCGCGAGGCCCAATTTATTAGGCTTGGATGGCGGGGGCGGGGGGTAATGCTGAACTGGCTTTTTGGTGAGGGAAATCATGGGGCCAGCTTTCTTGATGCTGTGATCTTCGGTAGCTAAATCGTAATTCAGGAGATATAGGGTCAGGTTATTGCGTGATTCGTCGCGGAGCCAGATTTTGTCCATTTGAAGCGTCACGAACCCGATTTTGTTGGGGATCCGGTCGGAGGCGTAGGCTGATCTGCCTTCGTTTTGGGTTGTGTTGACATAGTCAAGGTTGATTTGGACGGTGGAGTTGATTTTAAAGGCATCGACGTCCCATGTCACTGCGACCAAGGTACAGTCAGTTGTCTGAGCCCCGACCACTTTGAGCGGGCCTGGCTTACCATAATAGGATTCGTCGACGTAGACTTCTTGCCCGTTGGTTGGCTCGCAGAACGGGTATATGGCACTCTCGGTATCGGCATGACACGCCTTCACATCACTATCCGTAGGTTGTGCTGCGGGGACGGATTGTGTGGGCGTCGCTGCTGCGGTTTCCGAAGTGGATTCCGTGGCAGCATTAGAAGTTGTTATCGTCGCGGTCTCCGCTGCAGTCGAAGTCATCGCGGTCATGGAGCCGTCTATAGTCGCTGCCGTAGTGGGAGATTCCAATGTAGTGGCCACTAGGTCGGCTGCACCCGAAATCGTGAGCAATTCGTGCCATAGGAGTCAAGGATCCGGGCAGAAGAGGGCGTCCTTACATTCAGCGGGTTCCTGTCTTTTCGCGTACACCTCCCACTGGGCTGATGCACCGACGCCAGTGCTTCCGCCCAAAGCAGCGGCAATTGCACCGATGAGGGTGTATCGAGACCACAACATGGTTGCTCGTAGATTGCTTCCCCACCAGCGGGGACGGTAGTGAACGCTGATTCTAAGCCCAAGGATCAATTGGTGTGGAGGATGATTGTTGCTGGCAGCACACCCTCTTGCTGGAAGTGCAGCCCGGAGATTTCAGGCCAAAATGCGCAAAATGTCTCCCAGGAGCAGCGGGCGGTACGGCTCTTTCCCCAGAAGGGAATGGGCAGCAGGGGACAGTGGATGCTCATTGGCTGGGAAAGAAACAATACGCTTTCGAAACCACGGCTCAACAGCTCACGTAATCCACCAGCAAACGGCTGCAAACATTCATCACCAACAGTTCTTTTGGATCTTGAGATAATAGCGTCTTCGAGTCGTTGTGAGACGCCCGGGTCTGGATGGCAACACCAGGCATGTGCCCGTCCGCGTTGCGAGGCAGGGTTGTGAGACATCATCCATGTGGAGAGATCTGAATCCTCGTATAGAGCAAACAGAGCAAACACCGGGCCATCGAGCCAGCCAGGTGGCTGGTAATCTGGTAGGCATATTTTCCGAGTCAAGCAGCAGGACGATGGATGATGGATAGCGGTTCTTCTCTCCAGACGGTCCCAGGGAACGGCGGGTTTGTTTATTAAACTTAGTAGACAATTCATCACACTCCGCAGATGCCAGAGTAACTCATCTCCATTATCACTGTGGTCTCCCCATTGGCCCTTCAAGGCCACCAATCTGAGAGCGCATCTCAGCCCTGCTGGAAGAGACCAGAGGCACAGGCAGAGAGAGGCAAAAGTGTGGGAAGGAAAAGCCAGACCGACGGGGACAACGCATCAAACCCAGCGCCCATCAGACTAGCCCGGGCAGTGTGTTCTCTCTCTCTCTCTCTCTCTCTCTCTGTCTCTCTCTCAAGCTGCTCTCCAGCCACCCTGAAGCGGCATCTGCCCTCAACTCGCCCCCCCACCACCCACTCACACTCGCTCCCCAGCACTTCACGCCTCACCACCTTCACCACAACGGCCCTGGAGCCTGAAAAGCCAAAGGTTCCGGTTCAGGTGATTCTGTCATTAGGTCTGCTCCCTGCACTTGTTCAATTCCATTTCTCCATCTCCAGCCCACTGTCCTGCTAGAGCAAAACTCCCTTGGCGTTCAACCTCACTTCACTCCAACCACCCCAGTTGTGCCTTTGGAACAACCACAACAAAGCAAACATCGTCAACATCAACAATCTGCATTGTGAGCATTGTCTGTTTCCAGCACCATCCCCCGACGCCGTTAGAATAGCAACACGTCTATTGACTGAATAGAACCCTATTCTAACTGACTGGCACTAGGTTTCCAACGGCGACATCGCCTTGCTGTGTTCCGGAACAACTCTCTGAACAGGTAATAGTTACACAGCTGCCATCCACTCAGCCAGATACCTCCAAGAAGCCAGCATTGTTCCTCTTCACAGCCAACAGCCTGCAAGTTCTTTCGCTTTGTCGCTTCTTCACTCTACACGAATACCATCAATCAAAAAAAAGCAGCGATATCTCCCTCCTCTCCCCTCTGCTTTCCACCTCTTTTCCCACTTCATTGAGTATGAGACTGGCCGGACAAGGGTCTTATCAAGATGGGTGTTGACACCCGAAAACCAATTCTCCCAGCACCCACAGATTCTACGTTCCTCGACACCACTGGTGGCAGCGGTACGGGCACCGGCACCGGCACTGACATCGCCACCGACCTGTCCCGTCGCACGGACAAAACCTCCTACTCCATCCCAGACGACGGCAGCCCCATCACCATCAACACCCGCCGCAAGTCCCAGCCTCGTGATCGTGACGAGAACAAGGTATCGCGCTCCGGCCACAACTCACACACCTCGCTTCTCATCGAGTATTTTGAAGGTGGGAAGAAAACCGGCAACGTCAGCTCGCGACCCAGCGTCCGTGTCAGGGTAACGCCGTCCTCGTCACGCAGGAACAAGGAACGAGACGACCACGTCCACATCACCGAAAGCTCATCGGGCCGCAAGCCGTCGTATACCCGCCGCATCTCACTAGGAACCCCTACCCGGACAAAGGAGCTGACAGAAGGTCCAGCAGACGACAGTTCGTTCTCTGGCGCCGATGACACCCCCACCACTCGCCAACCACCGTTAGAGATTGAGTTTATGGACCAGAATAGCGCCGTTTCCTCGCGATATATACAGCCTACCTCGGAGATTTCGTCGATGCCCCCTGAAAGTTTGATGGAAAGTACAATGGGCCGATCGGATATCCAACGCCGCAGACGCCATAGCTATAGCGATGAGGAAGACCTCCCGCAAGATGACAACCTTCTGAAGACGCCGTCTCGTAGGAGAAGTCGCAGCCTAAGTCGGGAAAGAATCGCACAAAAAGCCGCTGAAAAGCTAAGCAGCGTGCCCAGAGGTCATATTTCGCGTCCGAAACAGAGACTGAGCGAAAGAGCCCAGAGTCGAGACATCGCCAACGATGTGTTTGAATCGGACCCAAAGGCCAGAAACCGGCCAGGAAAGCATCGGGATAAGGACTTCATGAGCCCCGAATCCAGTTTGTTGAGTAATTCAGCTCTCTCGCACAACAAGGGCGGCGATCAATATTCCTTCCGGTCAGGCACCTCTCGCTCATCACTGAATAACCCAAAGCTGCTGGAGACCGTAGAGGATGCGATTCGGCGACTTATTCTTCCTGAATTAAAAGAGTTGAAAAAAGACCAAAAAGTGCAATCGAACCGTACGAAATTCGAACGCGAGACAAGCGGGTCGCACGCGTCAGGCAGTATCGGGTCGAAAGACGAGTTGACGAGACGGCTTTCAAAGCATGCTAGCGCCCCCGATGTAAGTAAACCACGACTGGTGGTTAGTCATGACGAGCCCCAGACGCCCCTCAGCCCATCAAATGAATATAGCAACAGAAGGGAGCGGAGGCGAGAGAAACATCGATCTCCGCGTCAGGAGCGAAGGAGCTCGAAAGACTCTGATTTCCTTGCTGTGGAGGAGCCAGGAGTGCAGCGAAAGAAAAGTAAAGGTCTTCGCGACGCCGAAGCGGCGAAGATCGTTGGAACTGCTCTTACCGCAGCTGCTTTAAAGCATCATGATTCCACCTCAACTTTGGGGAGCAGAAAGGAACGGAGGAGGAGGCGCAGTGGAAGCGGAAGTATCGGTATTAATGAAACAGAGCTTATTTTTGAGAAACACGAAGTGCCGCCTATGCCGCATTTGCGGAGCGAATTGGAATCGCAAGTCACCCGGCAGTCTATTCAGTCCCAGCACTCCGACGCTACTGCTGGCCCCGTGCATGGAGAAGTTACTCGTGGGACTATCCGGGAACAAGGGTCACCGGTGACCAAGGACTTTAATGTTAGCCCACAAGCTTCGAAAAAGTGCCTGAAATCTTCTCGAAGCAACCTATCGAATCCTCCACTCAACAGTGATGAGATACAGGAAGAGTTAGTTCACGAACGGGAAGCTTCTCCGGGCGCCGACGTTCCAGAAGTTAATGTCGATGCTCCCTACCCTCTTGAAAAAGGCGACCACCATCATAGCGAATACTTGTATCGACGTGCTCTTAGTCCAATCCAGAGTGTTGCGAGCTATCAAGAGGAGCAAGAAGAAAATGAAGCGCACGGCGACGCTTATCAGCAGGCCGCTCTATCCCACGGTGACCATCGGTTATCGATTGACTCTCTCTCTTCAGCACCCAGTACGGACTTGGCCAGATCAAACCGAACCACGGACCGCAGCAGCGAGAGACGAAGGGCGATAAGCATCAACAATGAATCCGGGGTGGAACTTGGATATGGAGATTCACCCAAATATCCACCAAGCGGCGAGTGGCCAGAGAGCCAGCACGAAGAATACGATGAGAATCGCCGGAGTGTAGCGGAGGAGAGTCAATTAGGGAGCGTTGATGAAAAACGAACGACCATGTATACCGATGAGAACTTTGATGATCCGCTTGACCCTGGCCAGCAGGTCGCGAGAGGTATCGGTGCCAATGCACAATATATCCACACGCCAATCGGTGTTGAGTCCGCTGTGGCATCTCTTCTTGACCCATCCGTTGTAGATGGGGGGTCAAATCGCTCGCCTACCGTCGAGTCACCCATGCGACCTCGAAGCTGGGGTTCTGATTCGGTCAGAGAGTTAACCCGCGATGTTACTGTCAGTCGAAAGGGTAGTCCGCTCAAGCAGCAAGTAGATCTTCCTACCGAATATGCCGAGACATCGTTCCAGAAACGTATGGGAGCCAGCTCACCGCCACAAAGCGTCGCAAACTCCACAGACGAAGAGGATAGGCCATACTTGGGTGCGACCGGTCTCCCAACGGCGGGCAGTCCCATTCCAGAGATCGGCCATATTCCAGAGTCGGAAGAATCAGAGATCAATACGAACCCGTCGATCATCCAAGGCCCCATCGGCGGTGTTCCCCATGATGGTCGTGACCATTGGCCATTTGGCCCTACCCCACCAGAAGTTCAAAGAGAATTGATCGCTAATGCAAATCAATACAACGGTACCCTCGACCCTAGCCCTATGCTCATGGGTAGAGATAGCCCCGCGGGTTTGGGGGTTTTCACCAAAGACCATGCCCCTATGAATCAGTCTTATTACCACCCGCCAGACGTATTACCTAATGGTCGTGTCGATGTGATTTCTCCTGGAGGAGGTAAGGATGAGGGCTATATTTCGGGAGCGAACCATAGGTCTGCGAGCACCGTAACCCCGGAGCCGAAAGGGAAAGGTGGTCTAGGGGCACTGGAGGATATACCTTTCAGCAGCCCGATGGATGATGAAGATCCTTACACGCATAAAAGGCATTTGAGTGGGTATTCTCACGGCATCGCGTCTCCGCTGTATGATAGTGCAACGGGTCGTGGGATTGATAGGATTCAGTCGAAGGATATTGTTGCGCTTATGGACCATGTTTGTTGTCCTTCACCCCTTCAGGTTTCTCATGCTGATGATGGTTTCTAGTTGACTGTTCGAGACGCCCAAAGAAATGCACGAGATACGGAGATACTGGTGACTCTCGTTCGTAGTGCTGCAGAGATACGCAACTCTTTTGAGGATATGAAGAAATTCATCGAGACACAGGATGAGAAGCTGTTAGATACGACTGAAAAACACCACGGTCAAACTCAGCGACTGCTCAATGGACCTAGGCCACAGCCACCACGGACCCCTCGACGGTTGTCAGAGGATGACGATGACACACCCACGAAGAAAAAGAACGTGTTTAAACGAGCGTTGAAGGGGTTGGGTTTGAAAAGCTCGAACGACTTGACTCACATTGAAGACATGCTTCTGCATCTACTCGCTGAAGTGGAGGCTTTGCGAGCTGATCAACGAGGAAACACGATGACGGAAACTCGTCAGTCGATGGACAACCCCCGTGGATCTTTGGACGGCTACGGCTCACAAGGCCAGCCTACAAACGGGTCGATTCATCATTCGTCGAAATTTTCGAATTCTCCGCGTTCTACGGGAGATTTGAAGCAGTTGTCTGCGCAGCGCGAGGCTGAACGTCGCATAAGTCCGGTGATTGAAGATAATGAGGATCCGTTGACACCCCAGGAAGAAGAGCTGCTTGACCCTCAGATGAGCACGGATGCGCATTTCATCGGGCGCCACAAGCGAGGGGACTCGGTTCCGGTCACTACTCCTGAACGCGCAGCCGTAGCAAGCGGGGCTCTGAGCACTGATACCACGCCCAAGATGTCCACGGACAAGTCTCGGAAGCATAAATCAAGCAGCTCTTCCTTTTTTCCCAAAGTATCTCGTTGGTCCAAGACAACCGCCTCATCGATGGGCGAAAACATCAAAAATAGTATGCAACTAGGCCGCAAAGAACGTCCGTACTCAGAAATGTCCCGTTCCGGATCTGATTTGAATTTGGGTGGATATACCGGGAATGACTACTACGACCCTCAGGGCGACGACCGACTTCGCTCAAATGCCAGTTTAGATCGAGAGAACAGGCAGGAAAACCGGCCTCCGTCTCCGCTCGTTCCATCGCAAGTCTCTGAGCATCCGAAATACCGTGCTCATCGGGATAGTTTAAACCTTCAACATCCGCAACCGCGACCAGGAGCACGATACCAGACGCATCTTGAATCTGAAGCTCAAAATTATACACACATGGAGTCGCCGGCCATGGATCCTTGGTCATCTACGCATAGTCTCGGCGGCGAGTATCAGCATCAGACGCAGTCTAACGCAGGACGTCGTTCGCCGTTTTCTGATGGAGGGTACTCAGCCGCTTCATCTATCACTAGACGACAGAATGGGCCTCCTCGACCGCCCAAGATCAAAGACGAGGGACCCTTGATTCCACAACGGCCCGCGAGCATCAAAGACGGCGCGCAGCCGAGTTATGCGGAGAGAGTGGCATTGCGAGAGAGTGGTAATTCGGCCAACCAAGACGGGGTATGTTGTTTGAATCCTTCGTTTCTCTTGATTTTTGCTTAAGACTAATTCATTTTTTTTTGTAGCAACTTGGATCGCCAAAGAGTTCTCTGAGCCGCACCGGACCGCAGCGAAGACCGACTGGTCCTCGGCCGAATCCTAGTTCGGGAAAATACAGCGGCAGCCAAAGCGGATTTTCCAATGTGAAAAGACATCAGTATCGCGGTAGCCCCAACCAGATCGATGATGAGGATGACGACTACTAAGATACTTGCTCCAACCCATCTTTCCATTTCTTGATATCTCTGGTGATGTCCTCTTTGTATCTCAGTGACCAGTTGCTCAATGGTTTCCCCCTTTTGGCGCTCGTATGCAAAACAGAAATGTCCCTTTTAACAAAAAATAAGCTAATGGCTCATACCCTCCTCCTTTCATGTTGATGGTTGTGCTCCTTCACTTACCCACCCCCTGTTGCTAATCCTTCTGCACTGTTGTTGATTGCTATGATATGACTGATGACCTGTGGCCTTTTTTTCTCTTCATTTTGCGGCTCAGCGTTCATGATGATGCCTGCGGACCATTGACTCCTGTGCAATAATATTCTCTTTTCTGGTGTATGAAGTATTGGATCAACATGGAGAATGGGTCAAAAACCATTCCCATGTTTGAATAAAAAGGGCAGCTTTCAAAATATCCCAAAATAATAGTTCATCCTCCCTAGTGAGAAGCAGTGTTGATCACACTCGGCCTTGGCAAGGACCCAAACCCATCGCCGGCCTCGATAAAATTGTCCTCAAAGTCGTCTTCCCCAAATAACTCGCACGGAGACTCAATCAATCAATCCCCTCTGTGTCCCCTGCTCAAACCACTTAACCCCCCTGCCAAACCCCGATTATCTATCTAACCAGGTGATGACCGCACCCCTCCACTTCCTCCGCCATCATCTTCGACACCACCATCTCACCCGCAAGTTCCCCCGCCAGCCTTGTGGAAAAAGAACTACATCTTGCATCCCCCAGCCACGCCCGCTGCTTGAAAACCAGCAACAGCCGCCTCGACCAGGTAAGATGCGGAGATTCGCGCCGTTGAACCCCGAGCTGCGGAAGCTGGAGGTGCAGGGTGCGGGGGAGACGGTGCCGGTGTTGCGGGGGGTTGTGTTTGATGTGGATGGGACGCTGTGGTAAGGGCTCTTTTTTTTCTTTATCTACTATTCCCGTCTGTTACTTTGCGGTGGGCATATTTGTACAGTATAAAGCTTGTCACTAGGATGCCGTTGATGAACTGGGCGGTGTGTTCTTGATATAACTATGGACGGCATGAATTTTGGAACAAGCTCTTTTCTTTCCGTCCAGAAAGAATGGCATGCTGCATGTATTTGAGAGTCTTACCTACCGCATTCCTCTCCATGCTAACCCACAATCCTAGCCTTCCTCAGCACTACATGTTTCAAGAAATGCGGTAAGTAAAAGAATCATCCCAAAGGGAAGAAAAAACAAAAAGGATTTCCCTTTGAATGACATCCCCCATTTTCTCTCTCCTTTGCAGATCTGCCCTAGGGATTGACAAGTCCGTCGACATCATAACCCATATCCGCAGCCTTCCCACTCTGGAAGAGCGTACAGCCGCCGCAGCCAAAGTCCAAGCCATCGAACGTGCTGCAATGGTAAAACAAAAGCCGCAACCCGGCCTCATCCAGCTCATGGATTACCTCCACTCCAAGGGTATGAAGCGCGCGCTATGTACGCGGAATTTCGAGTATGTCTTTTTTTTTACCCCCTGCACTGCACACCCGGGCTGGCGGACGGGGTATTGAAATCTTTGTCTTGTCAAAAAGGGCTCCGGTGACGCATCTTTTAACTACACATTTGCCAACGCACGAGTTCACTCCGATAATAACGCGGGACACGCCCGATCTAATGCCAAAGCCGGACCCGGCTGGGATCCTGCACATTGCGAAAGAATGGGGCCTGGAGAACGGAGCGGACGATTTGATCATGGTGAGTTTGAAGCCCTAATGCATGATATCATCTCCAAAGCCTGTTAAAAAGGGGCTGGCAAAGGAGAAATTTTCTGGAAAATAACTTGCCCCGATTTCTAGGTTGGAGATAGCTTAGACGACATGACCGCTGGCCACAAAGCCGGAGCTGCCACCGTTCTCTTGGTCAACGACCATAACCAGGCGCTGAAAGAACACGACCATACGGATTTGTGGATAGAGCAGTTGGATGAGTTGATTGGCATTTTAGAAAATGGTTTCCTATCTCTCAGAAAAGGGTCGTGACGGGTGAACAAGGCCTGTAGATTGCTTTGTTTTGTTCTCTGATTTCTGCACTATAAACACTGTAAATACTTGGGACACGCCCCCGATGGTCCAGTCAAGACTGGCAAAGGGGGCATCTTGCCTCTGTTCCCGGGTAGGCGGGCTATGAATAGACATTCACCAATAGAATCCTTTTTGCGTCGCGCAGTCCGTGTATAGTTTAACAGGGCCAAGCGCGCTGGGATATCGCTACGGGCTAGTAGCTGATAAAAGGCTTTGTAGTCGCCTTGTCCTGTATAATCATGGCAGACTAACAAGTTTGGCATCATAGATAGCCGTTTTTGGAGGCATCGATCCCCATCTTCTAGAGCCTGTGCTTGTCCCACGCCCGTTTGGCAGCACTCGGCATCGGCCGGTATGTCTCCCGATTGTCAGACGACTTGGCACCTCTCCCACCGCGCGAAGATGGACCGCCTCTTTTATTCTTGGTGCCGCCTCGAGATGGCGGTGGTGCTCTTCCACCGCGGCCGCGGGGAGGAGATCTGGGTGGTCCGTGGCGCCCTGAGCCGCCACCGCCTCGTTGTCGCTGATTGTATGGACCAGGTGACAAGGAACGTTGACGAACGTTGCGACCAGTGTCTGGTTCCCGATCGCGGTATTCGCGTCGATAGTCATGGGGGGTATACCTATCGACCGCGCTTCCATTCTGGCGGGTTGAGTCATCGTCTAGATTCCGCCCGCGGCCGATTCCGCTGTCAAACCGGATATGCGAGCGCGGTGGTTGTCTTCTAAGGGGCCTCCTACGCCCAGTAAAGTCATCGTGGTCGTCATCCGAATATATTTGTTCGTTGGCACGACCTTTGATTCGTAACCCTGAAAGCTGTTCGTCTCTATCATCACCCCCAGGATGCGCAGGCAGCTTGCTGCTGGCAATATTGGAGACCAAGGACGGGTCAAATGCGCTCAGGCTCCAGGACGACGAATTCATGGGAAATGGGCGGACAGGACAGTCTCCCAAAAGGTGCTGCTTGCTTGTGCAGAAGCTGCAGCACACTGAGATAAAGATTTGACTTAAACTCAAGTCACGCTTTGGCACCTTCCATAGTAGGTCACATTCACTCTCGATATGTTGGTTAGAATTGCAGAAATCGCATGGGATCTCCGACGCCAATTCTTTTAGGAGCGAAGGGCAGTCCACTTCATCATGGCCACGCTCCCGGCACCTCTGACACCGCCTCCAGGAAGGACAAAATCTACTCTCGTGGACACTCCAAGCGCCACAATGTTTACACTGTTTGGTGTGTTAACCTTTCAGATACAAAAAGCACTTAAAGCGAAAGCACGCTTGGCAAGAAGCATTCGCAGGGAGTAGTGGAATCCTCACTTCTTTATCAGGGCATATTTCTGCAAGGTGGCCTTCTGCTAAGCAATCTGTACACCCTATGGGAAGATTGAGGTCAACACCTTTTGGGTCTCTGTTGTAGTAGATATATTTTATCTGTATGTCGCGGTCCTCACGGGAAAGATCGACCAGAGTGTGTGGCGGGGACGGATATTTCGAATTGAATGATTCAATTGCTACCGATTTATCGGTGATTCCCTGGCCGTGAGGGCCCAAATCTTCACGGGCCGAGGGTTGTTGGTTGGTGCCTTGCTGTGGAATCTCGCGAGAGCCGTTTGTTTGAACAGCTAGGGCCTGTAGACTGTTTGGCTTTTCTTCTGTTAGATGTTGGCTAGGAGTGCTCAGGTTGAGCATGATTGAGTTATCCGCTGCGGCATCACTTTCAATGTCCGAATCTTCGGAAATGACAATAGCGGTGTCAGCCTGGTTGCCGGCTCCACCGTTCTGTGCAATCGCATCAGGCTGTGGTCCACCGTTCTCTGAGACAGGTGTGCTTTCACTTCGCCAATACTTGCCGTTGACTGAGTCGAACGAGTCTTGTGCGGGTGCAGATGGGCCTCCTGACGCACGAAGACTTGTTCTGATTGTGCTCCCGGTAACCTTGTTCCAATTCACGGCAGGCTGCATCGTGGAGTTCGACTGAGGTTGCGCTGAGGCATCATCCATAGCCGACGGAGAATAGTCACAGCCACTCTCATCTGAGGATTGGTCTGAGTTGGAGTTGGAACCGACGTCAACCGGCAGTGAGGCACTGGTAAAAGCCGCACCGCGCGGGATAAAGTCTTGCAGGTCGTCGCCTCTTGGTCTGCGGTCTCTGAGGGACCGGCGGCCTCTTGCTGGCTGCGAGGATGGTTTTGTTACACGGTGCAAATTCCGCTTGTTTCGAGGGCCGACGGCGGCGGTGCGGGAGTCGTCAGCGCTATCATCTCCCTGGGCATGGCCAGGCATCACCAGCGGCTGGAAGGGACAAAGTGGACTGGGGCGTGGCTATTCGCAATGGCGCCTGCTTGTCGAAGATATAAAATCGACGTCTTGATCTTAACAAAACCACACTGATTACATAACCATCACATGACCACCCTTAGTCAGCAGCCTAGCGCTGTTCTGGAAGCGTTCTTCAGGATGACGACTGCTTTGTCACTGGCTGCAGTTGATCTTCTCCTGTCTGTCTGCCATCATCACAGCACACTATAGCTATTATAACAGCTGTTTCTTTTGTCTGCTTCTCCTCTGTTGAACAGTGTGATGTCTGTCACTGGTACCCCGTCCGTGTCAGAGTCAACACTGCCTACTATATAGCGCGCTGGACGACAGCAACAACCCAGGCCTCCACATCTCACCGGCCTGTGCATACACCTCAATCCCTACACTCTTCTCCGTGCTTCTCCTCCCAGGCGACCGCGATATCTGCCTGTCCCCTCATTCCGTTTACTTCTCGCATCCCAAACCATTCCCCATTGGGCCAGCTGTGTCGTCGAGCCATTCGCCGCGGCAACCAGATCAGCCTATATAAGCACCAGCAGCGCTGTGCGGATTTTGTTCTTTCTCTTCTCTCCTTCACACAACGTCTCCCTGGCCTTTTTCCTTGGTCCTTTTTTTCGAAAAGGACGCCCCAACACCGCCAAACTGTCTCCTCTCTTAGTTCCGCGAACCTCCTCCTTCACCACCGATCTCGATTCCGGCCAGCTCAACCCCTCCAGCTTCCTCTCTCCAGACGCAGCCATGCCTGAAACCAGGACCGGACGCAGACGACGCTCGAGCAGCATCATCTATCAAGAGCCGCAGGAGTCCATCGAGCATACGAGCGACCAAGCTGCATTGCCCAACTTGAACGCCAACTGGGTCAACGCGAAGGGTAAGCCCCGTCTTCTATGAGAGCATGATGCGCTGAGACCGTTTTAAAACTGTTGTGGGATCCTGTTGCTAACGCGTCGCTTGCCTCCCTTAGGCGCCTGGACCATCCACTTCGTCCTCATCATCGCTCTCAAGATCTTCTACGACATCATCCCTGGCGTCTCCCAAGAAACCTCATGGACCCTCACCAATATCTCTTACATGTTCGGCTCTTTCCTCATGTTTCACTGGGTTCGCGGCGTGCCGTTCGAGTTTAATGCTGGAGCGTATGACAACCTCAACATGTGGGAACAGATCGACAATGGCGATCAGTATACTCCCGCCAAAAAGTTCCTCCTCAGCGTCCCGATCATTCTCTTCTTGCTCAGCACCCACTACACACACTACGACCTGACCTATTTTATCATAAACTTCTTGGCAGTCCTGGGTGTGGTGATTCCCAAGCTTCCGATTGTGAGTCGCCCCTATTCTACCGCGTTGCACTCTGAGCTAACTCACATAACCTATAGTCCCACCGCATGCGGATTGGATGGTTTGTGGAAGAAATGGATGATTCGTAGTCTTTTGGGAGGACCAAAGCGCAACAGCAAATTTCAGCTTTCATTGAAAAGGGCCCTTGGGCATCACTTGCTTAACCCGAAACCGTGTGTCGTCTTTAGCGATGTGTTCTCGCGATCGACATTTATCAGGTCTCACGCCGCTCTCTGCCGATTTCTTTTACCAGAATTATCGAGATAGAAAAAAGCGAGCTTAAAACTATCTAATATTTTCCCAAAAACTTTTCTATCAATATGACTCGTAGCCAAATTCCTAGAGGCCCTCTCAAGTCGCCACCGCATGGCGTTATATTGGGGCCCAGGATCGCGGCATCTACTCCGTAGTTATCTGAGCTACCCCATTTACAGAACTGTTCTACCCTACGCGGTGCTATTCGAAAACCCCCTTTACATCTCTCCCTATTTATATCAATGTTATTGTTAGATCAGCAGCGAAATCCCAGGTAGTTGATGCAAAACCGGCGATCTACTTCAAACGCGAAACTGCAGCCGCGCAGTCGCGTCGCAAACGCGTGGGGTTCTCCCGCTGAACGACCGATCAAACATCAGCCGCCAGTATCGAGATGGAATAATCAACACGCATGAGCTAGATATGGACAGTCAATCAGAGCCCCCAGGGCCTCCATATCGCCCTACGAAGCCACTCCCGTTCGAGCTCCGCCAGCACTGTGGCATCTACTTTGAAGAGCACCTCTGTTCGTTCCCCCTGGCAGTTTCACTGACATCAGGCTAATATTTGAACGTCGGCTGATCGTTCTAGACTGCCAGGCCCTGAATCTACTATCAAGTCTCGTTTCCTCCGGCACAGCATCTTGGGCCAGCGCGGCATACCTACCACCTCCTGAATTCCTCGCTCTCACCGCAACACTCGTCGTACACCCGTCCACGACGACGCGCGCAAAAACGGACGAAAACCGACAGGCTGCGAATATCGCTTTGCAACTACTTAGATTGACGAATGCGCTGGTGGGCCCGGAAGCGGCGGATTTCAATGCGGCGTTTGTGTTTACGCATTTTACAAAGTCGCGGTCTGGCGCGAGGCGGTTGGTTGATAATCTAGAGGGGCAGGATACTGGCAAGGGAGAGGCGCTGGATTTTGAGCTGGCGAATCGGGGGTCGTTGTGGTCGAGGGCGGAGGACTTTTGGCACATTGTTGGCTGGGCTTTCAACTGTGCTGTTCTGCATCCGAGCCGGTGGCCGAGGTGGAAATTGCTTTTGGAGTTTTTATGCGAGGTTCTTGAGGATGACTGGCGCGAAAGGGTGAGACGCAGCGAGGAGTTGGGAGGGGGTGGGAAGAAAAAGGCTGAGCGGGAGGAGCTTCTGTGCGGCAGTTTGATATATACGTTTTTCAAGGGCACGTCGGGAATCTCGAGCCCTGAACGGAGAATGATGCGGGCTATCTTTGCCGATGGGACGCCCGGCGCAACGAACGAGTTTCGGGAAATCTTTCACAATGAGTTGCAGGAGGCGAAGCAAGACGGCGACAAGCTGAAGAAGAGGGAAGTCAACGTGAATATCGCTGAGGATATATATGGAGACTATCTCGAATGGGACTTGGACGATGACGAAGGGACTAATTCCGTTCTCAACGAGTTCAAAGATGAACTACCTACACGCCCGAAAAGAAAAAGAAGAACAAAAGCCGACGGCGCGGGAGGCGCCGAGGTGGACAAGAACTACGACCTGATACACAAAGCGCACTCGGAAAGCCTCACGCTCCTCGGCGACCTGGAAGCACTCGCCCTCCGCCAGCGGTTCCTTGCAATCCTATCCGCCGTCTCAGAAGGCATCCCAAACCGCTTCATGGAGCTCGACCACCTATACCTCCTCTTCGTAGACTTCATCCGCCATCTACCGCTGCCCATCTTCCAGCTCTTCGTCTCGCCCTCCGTCCTCCTCCGACTCCCCGTCCATCCGCAAACCACCCTCTGCGAGATGCTTCTCGAGCGCCTGCGCGAAAACAAAAAGCGCTCGTCCCAGAGTCCATATCTCAACCAGGACAAGCTAGAAGCGGATTTTCTGCCCTACGCCGCAAGCACGTCGAGCGTGATCGACAACGCGAGGGTCTCGATACTCCTCGAATCCGTGCTTCGCTCGCTGTCGGCTGAGGGACTGCTGCATGTGCGGCCGTCGTTGAAGGAGGCGGTGGAAGAGGGGATTCTGGCCAGGGGGGAAAGGGCGCAGACGGATACCAAGAAGGGGCAGAGTAAGATGAAAGCTGAGGAATTTGGGTGGACGTGGTTGATTGAGAGTGGAGAGCGGTTGATGCATTTGGTGCTGAGGGAGGAGGAGGCGCCGACGGAGTGATTTTCGTGGGAAGAACAGGTTGAAATCTTTTGGACATGGAGATGGTTATCTCGATTTCCTCTCTAATTGATATATGCCCCTTGAGTACTCTCCGGCGGGTCGCCTATAAGGATCATTACAAGCGAACGACTTTTATACGACAATACAAATCTAATGTTAAGCATCACCACGAAATTTAGAGCAGACTACTCGCAATCGAGATTCTATATGAGAAGAGCCCCTAGCTTTGAAAGGAACTATTTTCCAAAAAAGAAAAAGGAGTATTTACATGTGTACTCGCACAGGTATTCATCGTATAAAAACAGGGCCATCAACAGCCAAACAGGGAAAAAAGAACATTCAAATTCTCAATAAAACCATTGAATAGACCGAATTGAATTCGAACGAAAATCTCGAAGAGTTGAAGCAAGCACCCAACAGCACGCAAGTCTCCATTGTTGATCCAAGGGAAACCTGCCCATACTAGGCTATCAGACCTTCCCCCTAGCATCAAAAGCCTCCGTTCTCCTCACGGTCGAGGACGCGGCCCGATAATCTGCCTCCTCGCACCAAACCCAATCCCCGTCGAGCCCCGATTCTGGTTATCACCGCCGATGTATCCATACTGGTTTACATCCCAGCCACCCTCACCGGGTCCCGTCCCCGCCGTACCCGCTCCAGCATCCGCAGCGGCTTTGGTTCGTTTCTGGTTCTCTTCCCACTCGCGCTGGCGCTCGCGTTCCCGCTCCATTTCTCGCTCTAGTAGCGACTTGGACGCCCAGCCTCCGGCACGGGTCTTTTGGGTCGATGCGATGCGACGACGGTTTTCCTCGTCGACTTCGGCTTCGGTGGAGAATTCCGGTGGGCGATGGGAGGAGGGCTGGGCGGGCTGTGGCGCCGGGTTGGTCGCGAGGAATCGGTCCGTGCGGGTTTTGGGGTAGTTGGCTGGGTCCGGGAGAGGACGGGGGGATACAGGCGGCTCGGGAAGGGAGCGCGGTGGGAGACTTGGAGGTGTTTGGTCGGGTTTCGATGTGGCGTCCTGGTTTGCTTGCCATTCTGCTCGGAGGAGTCTCCGTTCCTCTTCCTGAGAAGTCAAGTCGTAGCTTGGTTTTGCGGGTTTGGGCGGTGGCCGGTTGCGGTTGCGCGCATCGTCTTGGGAGGCTGTACTTGTGCTAGAGACCTGTCGCGAACGGGCAAGGTCTTGACGTTCTCGCTCGTATTGTTTTTCCCTTTCCTTGGCCAGCTCGAGTTCCCGCTCCAAGGCTCGAATGCGCTCGTTCTCGGGGGTTGGGGCGGGCTCAACAGGGGAGATGGCACGTCCTGGTCGTTGACTTGCCTGATATTGACTTAGGAACTGGCCATTCAAGCGCTCATCCGCAAGCTCGCGTTTTCGTTGCCTCTCTTTCTCAAATCTCTCCTCGGCTTCCTTTTCTTCTTGCTGCCGTCGACGATCTTCTTCCTCCCACCGTCGCTGCTCCGCTTCCCATCGTTTCTTTTCTTCTTCCACAGCTAGCCTCTCCTTTTCCCTAAGGTTCCTTGTCTCTTCTTCCCACTTTCTTTCCTCTGCCTCCCTAGCGCGTTGCTCCTCGGCTTCGCGCTCCAGTTGGCGCAGACGCTCCGCTTCTTCGTCCTGGCGTCTCTGTTTTTCTTCCGCCTCTGCAGCTTCCTTTCTTCTTCTTTCTTTTTCGGCTAGGCTCGGAATCGAAGGCGATGAAGAAGTAATCTGTCGTCTTGCCCCAAAAGATATTCCCAAGTTTCCCTGACTCGCGCCTCCCATATACCCGTACTGATGAATATTCCATGCCGGTGAGGTCGTTGCTTCCTCTGCTTTATTGCTCCAGGTGCTCACTGCGGGCCTCGGTGATACGGGTGAACGCGGCGACGCGGGGGTTCGTTTCTCGGGGCTCGACCGCCCAGAAAGAGGGTTGAATGTCCTTGAACCCGACTCACTGACATTACTGATTCCACGAGTTCTACCGTATGCAGGGCCTCCTTTAAAGCCAGTATGGCTAGATCCACTCAATTGCGGACTCACCACACCGCTCTTGACCTTGCCAATCGCGCGTGGGAATTTCGCTGGCTGAATGGCATGAGCTCTCCGACTAAACGCACCAAGACATTGTAGAACTTGAGCAGGGTCTTTTGACTCGTAAAGATCGACTGTAAGGAAGACATCGTGGGGCTGGAGACTCAAAGGGGCCATCTGACAAGCATGAAGAAAGTGGGATATATTTTCCATCTGGACAAAAGGCATATTCGAGGCTTTGTATTTGACTCCTGGGGGACCGACGGCAAGATTGGCCAGTCTAGATAATTGTCCAAATTAGCGAATCTCAAGCACTCGGTTATGCGATGCGACGAGCTCACTCACCTGCAGAGGGCCACTCCATCTTTCAGCGCGTCGAGGAGGTCACCCGCGGGCAATTTCTCTCGCAAAACTTCTTCGATCCAGTCGCGTATTTCGTTTGCAGCCTGGGGTGTATATCGCGACAGGCGCAGCGACTTGAGGTCCTTATCCAACGACGTCACGGATGCCATGGCGATTAGGCCCAGGGGGGTTTAGCAGCGCGGGGCAACGGTAGCTAGGAGCTGTCTAGAGGTAGAAGCGCATCGGAGCGGCTGGAATGCCTCTTGGACTGATGCGAAAGCGTCGAATTGTGCGGTGGATGGCGATGGAAAGGGAACTCCTTGGGCTGCCCACGTAATTCAGGCGATGCTTTTGGGCTGAACTCCGCCGCCACACGTCACTTCGCCGACGCTAACAAGAGCACCACTTTGCTACTCACCGAGGATGCGATGCGATTCTCCGTCGCTGCAATATGAGCCCAGTAAACAGTCTGTGGTTCAAGTGGAAGAGCTTGAAGCTCCCCTGGCGGCGATTTTTCTTGATCGGTACGTTGTCTCTGGCTTGAGCTCGTCGGTGAAATCCTCAATCTACGCTGCTGCTGACGGCACTTCCAGGCCAGGACCTGGCTGGGAATACCTTCTGGGAGTTCAGGGACTCCAACACTGCCGGGCGTCTCCGGCGCATCGTGAAATACAACCCAAAGACACACTATGCCGATGTCAAGGTGTCGCGTAAGTTCCACCCCAGGCCCTTGACCACCCAACACTGCTGACCCAACCGCTCATGCAAAGCGCAATGGCACCAATGGCTGCGATACGTTCGACCGGAACCGCCTTCGATAATAGAGCAGCAGCAGGAACTTGTGCGGCAAGAGCAGATCAAGCACCTCGCCAGACTTGCGGATGAGCGATGGGCCAACAAACGCTCGTATCTTGACAAGCCCCAAGAGCAGCAACCGGGACCTGCAATAGATTCGCAAACGCCTGCATATCATACTGGCCCAAAACCAACCGCTGAGCAAGCCGGTGTCCGTTCTGCAATTGGCAGCGAATCGGAGCTTGGAGAGCAAGGGAAGACGAAGAAAAAGCGGACAAAGATTAGCCCTTGGGAGAAAAGTGCTGGGGCACCTGGTGAAAAATGGCAGCCAGAAGCATGGACCCCTTCTGCGACTAAGAGATAAGAGAGCAGCTACTGGTTTTCAGGGAGGATTGGCTATATGTTTACGCCGTTGGATTCCAGTCTGAGCACCCAGGAGCTCCCACTTGGGGCTATTCTGGTTCATTTGGCGTGCGCTAAATCAGATACCCGCCGTGAACTGATAACGCCTGAAATTAACCTGGACTTGCGCAAATTGCAGCTCAGGGCTCACTACCTGTTCGATAAACTGCTTTCCCTAGACGGTCCCCGTGGCAATGCTATTACTGGCAACGAGCTTGGATCGGCCGGCGCTGCTATGCACGTATGTATGTATATTATACCATAAAATTTACCTTGTGTACTTTTATCTTGATAACTACCAGGACCACTTCCATCCTCTCATCCTATTGATACCTTCACTTTCCTTGAATATAGCCGTTTAAGGCACGTATGACATGCAACAAATTCCCCTAGGCTACTTTTTTTTCGATATTTTCTTTCTTAACGATGACTTGTCTCTAGAATCTCGGACTACAGGTAGTCACACCGCAGTGACCAAGGGGTAGCACATAGTCAGAACCGAACGTCTTATCTTGTCTATCAGTTGAATCGTTCAGGCTAGATGCTGGTGAAACCGTCAACAGCCAAGCAGCTAACCCTCCATCGTCATATCGAGGGCTCTACGGAGTACAACGCACTCTTATGCATGCCCACGGTGTCAGTCAGGTACCAACGCATGATCGTGCTTCCATGTTGGACGACGTTGCTCTATATTTAGAGATTTTCCTGCCGTTGGATATTCCTTGAGCTTCGTACATGCATCCTTTCACTTGGTACGCTGGAGAGTCCCTCCTGTTCAACCAAAAGGCCATCCTGGTTCTATAACTCGTTAACTGCTGACGCCATTCAGTCTTCAGATAACGCCAGCAGACACTCGCGAGGGAAACTCTTGCTCCGCATAGCCTCGCTCTTTTACCTTCTAATCGGGAAATTTAGGCAAGTCAGGGGTTTCCGATCACACTCGTCTCGGTGAAACGGACCGGGTCTCTGGGACATAAAGAAATGAGAATCTTTTTTCATCCCTGCCTGTGTCCGTGCAAGTCGAACTGGTCGTGGATTCCATATGCTTACAGCGCATTTTGTCGAGAGACGCACGGCCGTATGTCGTACATTCATCCATGGCGGCCCAACATCCGAAAAAAAAAAGGAAACGAGCGTCGACACGGTCCCCTCTGTACAGAAAATGCACATATACAGGATATATAAATAGCTTCCTGGCAAAAATAGAAGTCTGAACTGAGTGCGACCGCTACATGCTGTGCGAGAAAACGGCCAGTTCTTATGCCAATTATCCCATGCACGATAGCCTAGGAGGCAGTGATGGCAGCACATGTCCTTTTTTCGAAACAAGATTGACACTGACCATGTGTAGTTTTCCTCTGCTGTATGAACTCCTGTTCCTTAGTTAATGGAGTACGGCGCTCCGGCGCAGACCATCATCTTGATACCCCATCCCTTGACGTTGCCGGCGAAATATTTCAACTCCACGTGTTCGCAAACAGTCCTTGTAGCTGTGTAGCTGTTGTCATGGTGTAATTCATCATGTAGCACAGATACTTGACTCACATTGTCGACTCTGGGGCTTGAGAATTCTGGGCCTGCGGCAATCGGCATTGCTTCATGTGGGAATACAAAACTGGGGGCCAGAGTGAACGGGGTACATACCTATATCCCGGGGTCTTAATCTTGATCGTCGTACGGTGAAGAGTAAAATTAGAGGTCATCTGATGGCTAGGTGAATGCTTGCGCCATTGAAAGGAAAAAAGGCCGTCTGATTGTCTTTTTGTTCTTGAATTTGCCAATCTCTAATGTAGCTAAGCTATGATTTGAAATTTTTTTTTTTTTTCAAAGGGCTTATCTAGAAAGCCACTCCAAGCGATAGGAAATTGGAGCCCGCTGGCGGGAGCCTCCAAGTGTAAACAAAGTAACAATTCGAAGGAAAAGGAAGGGAGCCAGCCATTAAACGAGAGAGCAATGCTCAACGCTCATCATATATACATCCATTGTTCACATAAAATCCTTATCGTAGAGAAGACGCAGGCAAGTAGAAGCCACTATGCTAACACAATACCGCTTCTAGCGCCTCGACATCACCACCCGCCTGTCGAACGGCCATCAACGCCGCTTCGGATAATTTTCTTCGTTTTTCCCTTGCCTCTTGTTCACGTCTGGCTTTCGTTTTAGAGCTCCCACTTGGCGCAACACCGTTGAGTAAGATCTGACTATCTTCAAGGCCAAAATTGCGAAATGTGCCGGATATCGAGTTGTTGTTCTCTGCCGAGTAGATACGGCTGGTTGAACTCTCGGTAGATGCTGCTCTGCTAGTTTTGTACGTCGAGGTGCCTGGAAAGCTAGACGCTTTGCGTTGATTCACTCGTCGCTGATGGACTGTATTTTGGAGTCTGGATTTTGGCAAGCGATGACTGGCGTTAGTAGGCAGGGTGCGTGTCGAGACCATTGATGGGATAGCCGGTCCTCGAGAAACTGATGGATGTAGTGGCGGGGAATGATGCGATGGTCCAAAGGATGACGGTCTGTGCGATGGGCCGTGAGTAAGGTCAATGGCGTATGCGGGGGCCATGGGTGCTTCGGGACATGAAAGCGGTGGCACCGGAAGAACCGGTACCGTAGCATGAGGGAGCTCAGAGGGTGGATTGACGTGCAGATTCAACCTATTTTCCTGCCCCGTACCGGTAGTGTTGCTGATGCAATCTTGCGGTGGCTGGCCCATTGGTGCTATCGCCATTGGAGGGTAACCGCCATGAGGGTATGACTGCAGGTTCCGATTCGGCAAAGTAGAGGTATTCCACCACCCTTGAGTGTCCGGAGATTGGTGGTTCGGAGGAGGGAACTGGTATACGGAAGTATCAAGCGGTTGGGGGGGCCATGTATGCAAAATTGAACCCTCCGATTGAGAGCGTAATATGTGCATGGGGCCAGGGTGGCTAGAGGGCGGAGCCAGCGGTGAAGGCGTTGAATGCTCAAGACAGCGTGAGCAAGAGTCAGTACATGGAGCTGACATCGTTGATTGCTGTGTTGGCGAAACCACATTCGACCTATATTGAGCGTTTGTGCCAACATTCTGCTCAGAGTTACGACGCATGCTGACAATAGGAGTTATGTAATCTCGCTGAAACGCCGGTTGGGTTGCCGAAGGTGAAATTGGGGCACGTTCCTCGGGCGCTTGGATGCCATAAGTTGGAAAGCGTTGGTGCCAGGACTCTTGATATGCCATTGTGCAGCTGCGGCGTTGAGGTGAGTATGTCAGCTCAAAAGGAATGTCCTGTTTTCGAATCGAACCAGCATAATCGTCCGCTCTGTGGTTTGCGAGATCCGTTGAAGACGGGTCGTCGTACTTGTATGCTGGACGTTGGCGGACTGTCGACGGCGGTCGTGAACCAATTTCCTTTCGTGCCCCAAATAGAAGCCCCGAGTCGAAACCAAATTCATCGATTGTGGAGAGTCTGCCTACACTGTCAAAGGATTGCGAGACCTCGGCGCCGAGTGCTTCTGACGCTTGAAATGGAGAAAGGTTGGGGCTCCACGGCTGGGATGAAAGCTCGCCGTCGTCCATTATCGATGATAGACTCGCATGAAAGGAGTCTTCCAATCCACATGATAACGGGCCCTCTTTGTTGCTCCGGTGGTTGAAAGCCTGCATAGGAGTATGTTGATTGAACGTGCTTTGCAGGGAATCATCGATTGAGCAGACAGGTTGATCTTTATCTTCCGTTTTCGTCGAATTTTCTCGTGAACTGCGCAGGGACATTTTGCCTGGGAATTTTATTGGGCAAGATATTATAGAAGCTGAGCTAGGTTCGCACTGAGGGCCCGCACAGTTTGCAGTAATGGCAAAAGTGAGGGGTGCCAGAGGAGGAATCGTGGCCTTCAATGCGCGGAAAGCGCAAGGACTATTTAAATATAACCTGATATCCAAAAATTCAACGCCGATATGTCTTCAAGCGATTCAATAACCGCACAGAGCCAAGGGCGATAAATTGACCGCGATTCAAGGGCGAGTCGCAACCGCTGGAGGAGCCGGGGCTGATAGACGGCTTAAACAGTGTTTATCGACTGCAGAAGCGGCGTTTAGCGAAAATGGAGTCGCCAAAACCTTTGTGATAAGAAGTAAATGGGTGATAAAATGTCCACGCATTGGATGGAGATGGTGAAGGACAGTGGAGAGGATGATGAAGACCCGCGAGGCGGCTGCAAGGACTTCACCGGCCTTGAAACAGGAATATATCTGCAAGAATAGAAACCGTTGAGGCATCAGTCCAGGCGCATGGGAAACAAAGAATGTCCAAAAGAAAGTTGACGAATAACAAAGAGCTCAGCAAAACCTAAAGATATATAGCAGCACATGACTGTACTCCATATATCATATATAGCCTCCTGAGAAATGACAGGAATTTTTTCTTATAAATCTTATTGAGGAGCCAGAAACCAGATCGCTCTTGTTGCACGAGACGAGTCCTAAAATATGAATGAATGGATGAAAGGAAACTAGTCCGTCAATGCGCTATCGTACACTAAACAGGGCTTGGTGGCCACAGATTGTTCCCGACAGGATGGGACGAACGGTGATTTTTACCTGCATAGAAGTAGGTAAGTTCAGTTTGATATCTAGGAACTGCTCCTAGAGGTTGTTGTTCAACCACACCACCGTCCTGCGGCGAATCAAAGTCTAGTGCGCATAGGAAAGGCACAGAGGCCGTTGGCCGGAGAATTGACAAGTCAGCAGTGACGTCCAATCTGTCAGTATACATGTGTTCTCGCCGCTGCAGTCGCCATTTGCTCTGCATCATGCAAGTTTCCTCATTGAGCACGATTTATGACCATCACACCAGGCACAGTAATAATAAAAATTAAAGTCAATAATAAGGAACTCGTAGACTGGCGCAGCACGCGGTGAGATGAGGGCCTGAGCACCGGAGGATAGTTCACTGCCATGACGGAGTCGGTGTACGGCACACGAGAAAACGTTGTACATACACCACGTTGCTGGCACCAGGTCTTGATGTCAATGTCGACCGTGGATTGCCGAAAAGGTCGGCTTCAAACCAGTCTTGCACGGGCTGCGGCTCGATCACGTCTTTCAAACAAAGAGATCTAACTTAGAAATAGCAAATCCTTTGTTCGAGCCCTTTTAGGATGGGCGATTTTCTCGTTAGCCACTTACAAAAGTCAGCTATATACCTGATATATTCTTGAGTTACCGAGCTGGCGGGACGTTAGCCACCGAACAGACTTGGAGACGAGTAACCAGACTAGTTCACCAGTGAGAAGTGTCGGATTGGGGGACTCAAAAACCGTGGTATCACAACAGCATTGACAGCCATCAACATCATGACTTGCACCATCAACCTTGCCTCCCCCGTGAACAATGCCCAGCAGGAGCCTCGAGATGGCGACGACAAGCAAACTGACGGGGAAGACGGGACGGTGCAGGACGTGCTTTGTGAAGTCTGTTTAGAGTTGGGGCCAAACGAGCAGGTCACGTGTGGATTACATCATGATTACGGACTTGGCAGATGGTCTTGGCAGCGCTTACTAACCAGGGTTAATGTCACATGACCTGCTGTCCCCGTGACCGAATGACGACAATTCAGGCAAGTCTGACTGCCCTCGACTTTTTGCCTGCTGCTCATCGCCCGACTTGATCGCGATAAAATGAACCTCACTCTTGCGTGACATATCAAAAGGATTTGCTTGATCCTCCGTATTTGCGAAGTCCCCCTCGTGTGCTAGCCATCCTCCGCGTCCCAAAGCATTCCCAAACCACTCCCCACGTCTCCTCACGCGCGCGACTCTTCCACGCCCGCGGCTACTTCATCGAGCCCTCACCACCCAAGTCCATCAGACCAAATGCTGCCCAAAGTTGAAATTTACAGATTGAATGGAAGGAATACTCTACACCCCAGAATCATTGACCAACACGTTCATCGTCAACAGAAGCCTCTCGAGCCCTACTCATTTCGCTTTCCTTGCCCAGCCCTGTCCCTCGAGCACTTTTCGGAGAGTAGGAGTCAGTTTTAAGTGAAAGCCAAATATCAAAATTGCTGCTCCTGTAGCCCATAAGAAATCCTGAACAACAAGCCAAAGATTACCAAAAAGATGGATTTTGCCATGGGCCACATGTGGTGTGCAGTTCCTGCTCACTGATTTGGCTGTTGCTGCCAGCCATGATTCCCTCACAAGCTGTTTGGGGGAGTCCCCGCGCGATTCTATATTCACTGCAATAACACACCTCGCATCCTTTGCTCCAAAAGCCTCTTTCGAGTCCTCTGAGCGTTTAACACACTTTTCTTGAACCCTCTCCCCTCTCGCGGCTATACAGATTTTATATTTGCTACGCTGCCCTCTTGTGTTTAACCGGGCGACCATCTCTGCTGCTGCCAGAAGCTGGGCTCTTGCTTGTGTTGAAAATTCGCAGAAGTGTTTTCCATTTTCCTTCCCAAGTATTTTGTGTTTATGGGTGAGACTCTCAAGTCGGGATATATCCCAATGGAGCAACCCAGGGACAGGAAACCCTCTTCTGAGGACTCCGTTGCTCTCAACCCCACACCTTTCAACCTCGCCAACTCCATCATCGCAAACTGTCTCCCCAACAATCCTTTCGAGTTCACGCTCATAAATCGTGGTCCAGGCATCTTTGCTGCGGCCTTTGCGTCCTTTCCTCGTCTGCCTGGCGGCTTTGCGGCGAAGGCCGCTTGCCTGAACAGCGCTCTCCCGACCAAGATGGAAACTGGCATTGCAACTAACGATGACGCGCACTCGTACTCGAGTTTCGCATCTACGGTCATGTCGTCAGATCCCCTATCGTCTTCCGGTTTGTCGACACCGTCGACTATGGTCGGTGATGATTCGATCGACTCGTCATTTTTCTCCACTTCAGCTCCATACTCTTCCCCCTACACGCCTCCGTGCGATCTTCGATTGTCATTTAGAGACCCTGAGCAAGTGATGAGTGATGTCGACGATACCGAGGAAGACCAGGACTCGAACAAGGATTCAGATTGCGACTTTGCAGCCATTGAAAGTGACGAAGAGTCTGATGGTGAATCAATTGGATGCGTCGAAGATAGCGACGACGAAATGGAATACGAAGAGTCCGAAGACGACGATTCCTGTGTTGATGATGAAGAGTTTGAAGAAGATGGTGCGTTTGTGGTCTGTTTGATTTGGGGTGGTTTTCACGCCGCTAACGTTTGATAGATGACTCGATTGAGGAGCAGTTATCGTTCATATCTTTTGAACGCTCAGTCCACTTTTCTTCTGCTGCTGACGAAGTGATACCTCAAACCGGCCCCCAAGAACCCCTCTTTGATGCTGCTCCAGAGATGACTTGCCACGAAAGGATGATGCTAGCAGACCAGTTGAAGCTTCGGCGGATTGGAACTTGGGATGATGGAGGAGACTATGACCCAGAGGAGCATTCACGCGAGTCTTTGCAGCTAGACAAGGGCCTTCTGTTTGCTTATATCAATGGCTTACGGACTTTGAACCTGAATTATTGCAAGACTGCTCTGCGATCGCAAACGCTACACGCAAGCCGAGACGGGCTCGGGAGATTGGATGCACGGGTCGACAAGGATATGAATGAATATTTGGGACGCATCTCAGACCTTCTTCGAGGCATTTTTCCCAACCTATTTACCGACGACGAGTACACACATATTCTCGCACAGGCTGAATCGGCAATTTCTTTTGATGACTATGGCCAGCTGATCTACGAAGCTCGGTCAACGGACGTTCAGCACATGATTAGGAGCTTGTTGGCTGAACGACTCGATTATGATGATATGTTCCTGGAGGAGGAGATGCTGGAGTGGTTTGCAGGCAACTTGATTGCACCATTGGGCCGTCAGGCGCTATCCCGGCGGGAACAGAAGGCTTGATGATCCGGTTTTCACTATGAATTTATGACATTTAATTTCCAACCTGTGTATTTCTCTGCGTTTGCGTTCTTAGCATACCGTTGTCTGCCGAGCCCTTTGGTTTATCCGCTTAGAAAGGCAGATTAAAATCAGGGAACGAGGTGTTTCACGGAGTATTTCCTTTTCCTGACAGCAATGTTGTGGCTGGTTCTTCTTTTCGGGGCATGCTTGATTTTGCATCATTGACAGAGTGTTTCTGCTTGCTTGTCTGCTTTTCTTGTGCTGTACTCCATACTTTAGTTTCAATTGCAGTGGTTAAAGAGAAAAACTGTTTTCCATGATTTTACCCTTCAAGGTTTGTGAACATTTTCTCATCAACCCAGAAGTAAATTATGCTTTTATTTTCAATCTCATTGCCTGTTCCTGGAAGTTCCAGAAGCTAGGTAACTTTTTGACACTTCCCGCAGAGTTGGCGAAAATAACAAGGGGGGGGAAATGCGATCAGGAGAAAAAAAAATCATGGTTGGGATGAGGATCTCCGTGAGATGTTTTTCATCACCGGAATCCCTGTCGGGTGTGTCACGGCTAGTGCCGGTTTGACGGGAAGACGGGAGGGCCCTTGAGGATGTTGGCATCCGAACGATGATTTTCCTGGAGATTTGTGTAAGGGTAAATTGAAGAAAAAAAAACGATAGGATGGAAGGGTTGATGATAATCCTTCACACACAGTGACAGAGACAGAGAGAGCGCCAGTCAGTCTAGATTTGCTTGGAGACGAGGAGGAAACATGGCCAAGAGGAGCCTGGGCTGTTTCACGGTCTCCCAAGTGCTCTTTAGTCGGGTTTGGAAATCTGGGGGCGGAAGAATTTTTGGCGAAGAGGGAAAAAGGTTCTTAGCTGGGCGGTTCGGTCACCCCGGCTTTTCCCAGGGGCCAGGATGTTGCAATATAGACTTGTGAGATGGGGGTAAAAAAGGAAAAATTGTTGAACGATTGATCTGCGGCAGATATGGTCATTGCGCGTCTCTCTTCGTGGCTAAATATCCATCATGACGATCCCAGTTGAAGGCCACTCTTCTCCTCTAACTATGAGGGTTTGAGCACAGAGGAGGTTTTTCTTCTCCATCTGCGATTTGTCACGATCAAGAGCATCTCCACTGTATCCAGATCGCTCTGTCAAACCCATGGGCCACGGCCCTATCAGTCTCCAGGCGAGCCGCTAACCGACGTCCTGTCCGGGGGGCCTAACCAGGGGGCAAGAACTCACTAGTCTCATGCACGGAAGGACGGGGATTATCCTGGCAACACGAATTCGAACAACTTGAAACCCGATTGCCTCTTTTTTTGGATGCTGGGTTTCCTTCTCATCAACGTCGTGAGAAGTTAGAACCACAGCTTCGTAAAGAGCACAGACTCCCTTTTCTTTTCGGGCGAACAGCCGGCTCCTCATGGCGAGAAACGCTGGCTGTCAAGGTTGGGACTATTGAAATCTGATTCCATCTTCAAGCAGCTCCAAGTGGGCCAGCTCCTCCAACATGCGGTTGATTGATTGGGTTGGGCGTTTGGTTCAGACAAAAAGTCCGATCTTGTGAGCTCGTTAGTCAACTAGCGCTGGCTTGATGCTGGACGAACCGAAGAACGAAAATTGGGGGGGCCCTCTTGATCTTCGCGGTTGCGCAGGGTGTACCTGCATGTTGCATTGCGGCGTGGTGGTTCCCTGTGAACGAGGGCTTCGATGATCATTCTGGAGGACTTCTGCCAGCAATATAGGGCATGATCGTCCCTTGTTGATCTGTGGATAATTGGGATGGATGAAGATGCGCCGTCGTTCCATCCCTCTTGCGACCCTGGGGCATGGGCTGCTGGGCATCCGCCGGGAGCTATCCGTGATAGTTACATAGTAGAACAAGTTGCCGTCGGTTCGCATGGCCTGAAAGACCAGGGCGAGCTATGAGCTTAGGGTCGAATACATGGCTAAAGGAGATATCAAGCCGCGGATCTACGACCGGCAGTTGGTTTCGTTGCCTTCCATTGTCTGCATAATGCATTGATATGCCGTAGAGTCGCAGGATGCATGCCGGACTCAGGCTCCAACACCAAGCCATCACATCAGCACCAGAGCCCACTGTTCGACATTCAAACGGATCCGGCCTGGCAGCTTTTAAACGAGGAGACAAGAGAAGCATCGTCAACGCTGGGCCAAACTCAGTTTTAGGGTGAATAAAGTGGTCTATATTAAACTCGTGAACCCTTGCTGGACTGAATCCCGCACTCCCCACCAGCTCCTGAAGCACCGTCCGGTCGGCCGTCAAGAGAGGATTTCATTCATCTCTCCCTTTTCCCCTTCAGAACTGTCGTTCTCGCTGCTTTGATGCGTTGATCGGATCCATTCGCTTGCAGTCCCACCGCCCAATCGAAAGGCCCTGTCGCTGCGACCGAGCAGAAGCCTGTCTGCCGTCACTATTAGTTGATCTTCCACCGGCTGTCCTCGTTAATTTATCAATCGAGAGAGTGTTTGCAGCTTCGGAAGCTCGCTCCTGTTTGTCCATCAATCCCCATCCGCAACTTCACTTCCTTGTTGCGCCCGTCGAGCCCGTCTCTTTGTGTAAGTCGCCGTTCACCTGCGTTACCCGTCCTGCAGCCGACCGCTTCCCGTGTGCAAGGACCCTTTCCATCCCCCCAGACCGGTTACTTCTGGCAAAACGGGCTCCAAAATACAGGCGACGGTCGCTGATATTCCATGTCTGGGTGCAGGTCGACACATCGCAAGTCCTCCGACCTGATTGATCCCTTATGTTCATGAGGAATACGAGTGAGTGATCTGGCATTTCAGCCGCGTTGTACAAAGCCAAACAGGTGTCCAAGCTCGAATGGTCCTACGAGAATTCGACACAAAATCCGTCTCGCGATGCATGACCAGTCGTCTCTGGGGTTTGGCTCAAGGTCAGCGCGGCGAGGCCGCAGCTCAAGCTTGTCTGCAGACTACAAGAAACGCCCCAAGCCGAGCGTCCTCTCACCACCTCTCGTCAACCCGCAACCGCAGTATGTCGCAGCGTCAGCCGCACGGCAGTTGATCGATGCGGATCAAGGGTCCAATGCTTTCGCGAAGCATCACCACGACAGTGTCGACATCACGGATGCTGCGCTGGCACTGCTAAACGGCTTCCTGGACAATATATTATTTAGCATTCTTTTAACCGCCAAGTCGACCAGGTTGGCGTCTATTCGCCCCGCAGTAGCAGATGTCCTAAAGCCCCGACTGGCAAGGGAGGTTGTCTCCGCTGCTGATGATGAACTTGGTGAATACTTGGGTGGAGGAGAGCATGAGGAGTTGTCCGAGTTCCACGGTGGCCAAGAACCGTCGGGCCATTTCGAGTTGGAAAGGTCATGGAAACTGATACGTCTAAGATGCATGGTGTATTCAAGGTTGGGTGATATGGAGGAGGAAGATGAGGAAGACCATCTTCGACGAGAGGGCTTGGACGATAGCGGAACTCGGCCTGGCCGGTTCTCAAATTACGTGGGCCATATCACACCTGCAGCCGCCATCTTCTTGACCTCGATATTGGAATACATCGGGGAGAACGCTCTGATTATCATCACCGACAACGCACGTGGTAGACAGGGGACTGCTGCCGTAAAATCTAGCCAAGGTCAGCCAGAGGAGGCTGCGATTCGCCGGCCTTTGGTTATCGACGATATGGATGTGGAGAAGATAGCTCTGAATCCGACACTTGGCCGGCTGTGGCGGACTTGGAGGAAATACTCCAGGCGCCCTGCATTGTCCAGAACGCTTTCGCGAGAATCGCTATTGCGCTCTCCCAGGAAGACCAGCAGTAGACAGAGCAGTGTTGGAACGGTGGAAACCCTCGATGAACCGCAGCTTCGTACCTTTTTTTCGCAACCACCTGTCTCTGAAGATGGCGAGTCAGTAGAGCCAGCCGAAATACCCCTTCCTCTGTCCGATAACGATATAGACGAAATCGAGATTCCTGGTTTCACCGCACAACTCGCTGTAGCCGTTCAAGCACGCGCATTTCGACCCCGAAGCCTTTTCCTCACAAATACCGTTCTCACAGCTCCTACCGCGCAAGAACATATCTTGCCCAAATCAGCTTCCGCGCTCGATTACCGCTCCCATTCTCGATCCTATTCCCTCCCCACCACTCCTTTGAAAACGACAAGACCTCCTGTAAATAGCAAACCCGACCTGGTTGTCGTTCCTCCTAGAAAGGAGCAAGAGAGTCTAGAGCCAATGCGCGAGAACGCCGAGCACATTAATATGAATCGAACAAGGAGGTTTGATACCGTCGAAAGCGGGTCGCGCGCTAATCAGCATGGCTCAATGGACCCTGATCCTTTCCTTGATGCCCCAGAAAATACCGGAAGTCCGGTGTCTTCTTTGCACTCCGATAGTATTGGTGTGGCGATCAGTCACTCTCAAATATCCGAACTTCCTTCACCAATTTCTCGAAATGAAAGCCGATTCTCAAAAGGAAGCTCAGAGTACGAGGATTATGAACCACACACTACGCTCACGAGCCCATCAACCAAGCATTCAGAAATGCATGAGAGACACCAAATCGACGAAGAACCGGTCATGACTGGCTCGGTACAACGACTTGCCGTGGATGACTATACAGATGCACCGTCTCCCATCCCCGAAAGATCTCCTCTACGCCTTTCTGGTCAGGATCTTCCGCCTCCAACGCAAGCGAATGACACCATAGTTGAGACCGCATTCGTTGCGCAACCTACCGCATCCGCCTCTAATCCGCCTAGGCTCAGCCCTCTGCGTGAACTAGTCGCAGCCGCGACCGGCACTCCGGATGAACATTCCCCTGGCTTGCGTGCAGGTCCCCAATCCAATGACTCCTCTGCGTCAAAATCTGCCTCCGGCCAGAGCAACCGCTCCACGTCTTCGCGACCCAAGCGACCAGTTGTCAAAACCTCTATGGTCACCAGCGCGCCCCACGCAATGACTAACTCTCCTAGGAGTATTTCACCTGGGAGAGAGCGTGCCGCAGTTCAGCGCGTTTCCCCTCCCCCGTCTAAATCGCCCAGTGAGCCGGGAGGGTTTAGGTCTCGCCGCTCCGAAAGCAACAGTAGTTTTCCTGAGCGAAGACCCATCACATCTGGTTCCGGTACATCTCAAGTCTCGAGCAAACTCAAGGGATTGGTGAACCGGCAAGTCACTCCCAACCCCCTGCGTTCTGCAGGGGATGTAAATGGCGATGGAACTTCGGATCTGGACCTCCTGATCGAAAGCGATGAGACACTTCATTATACACTAACGCCGAGAACGATGAGAGAAATTGAGGTTGGTCTTGGCCATTGCACTTCCCTTGCTATACGATTTAGTTTGCTGACCACAAACGCAGGATCCTGGTTCACCGCGATGGGCTTCTGTGCGAACGGATAATAATAATAACTTTGGAGACCCAGATGATTCAGGAAGCGCGGCAGCTTCTGAAAGCGTTTCACAGGGATCGGTGAACTCGCCGCCAATTGGTGGTGGCTCCAATGGACTTCGTATTGCCACGCCCACTCGTCTTCAGCCAAAACGGCCTGTGCCACAGGCGAGAGATGCAAGGACAGAAGTGAAGTCAGTCCGTGAGTTTGCGGATTTCATCCGACACACGGGCCCGGACCCGAATGCGCCGAAGCTGCATATTCCTATTGTTATCCCTGATTCAGTACGGCAAAACAAGCTCTCGCATGACTTTGGCACACAGGCGTCATCACCGTCGCCCGTTCCATCCCGTGCGCAGAGTTCAATGTCTAGTCATTTTTCAAGTCCTAATCGACGTCGTCTAGAAGCACGCTCGGCGGCTACACCGAAAGATAACCAGACTTCTGACCTGATTGATTTCATCCGTGAAGGCCCTCCACGGTCTGGTGCACACCGGATTCCCCGGACTGTTGCACCGTTTCGAACAACAATGGACTCGGATGAGTTCCAATCTCTTAGCCCAACTCGGCTAGATAGAGACGCGTTGACTCGCAGCTCCCTCGCGAGCACCCAGGATAGTTTCAACGCGCCAAGATCCGTTAATTCCTCGTACAACTCGCGGACGGGTCTTCTAGAGCCAGTCAATCACGGCAGCGGTCGGGCTGTCAGGGCGCAGTCTCAATTGGGATCAGTCCTTGATTCGCCGGTGGATGAGGTCGTGGAACCTGTCAGGACTCGCCGGCGAGTGAGGGATCCCTACGCCATCGACACCGACAGCGAAGATGAAGTTTTTGCGCAGTCGAAGAAGCCCCAGCAGAAGGAAGAAAGTCTGATGGATTTTCTGCGCAGTGTTCCACCGCCTCCCAGCAACGATGAGCTTCCACAACTATTGTCCGTCAACATGCATGCGGCAAATGAAACCAAAGGCTCCAAATCCAAATCAAAAGCCACAATGAAATCTCGCCTCATGCGAACCGCTTCAACAGATAAAGCACCCACAGCGAAGCTATCGCGATCTTCGCTGCGCTCCCATAAGTCTTTCGCGACCCCTACTTCAACTCCCGCAGATGCACCTGCGCTCCCTCCAATCCATGGAGCTTTATCCTCGCCTCAGTATCCCGTTCGACATGAATCCTACGCACTAAATTCGGCTGCGCACCCTGCCCAAGTCGAGCGATTGCGGAACGGATACAACATGAGCCCCCGTCCTACAGGCGAGCTGCGAAAGCACACTCGCGCCGATGAATCTGACACCTCTGCCCTGGCAGATTTCTTCAGAAATACTGGTCCTCCGGAGTCTCCCCAGCCATCACGTCCTCCCACTTCTTCGGTCAAGGAAAGTAGTGGGTTCAGTTCATTTTCTAGGGTGTTTTTACGGAAGAAAAAGCAGCCTATATAAGCACTCTTTCCCCCTCCTCCTTTTTTTCTTTTCTCTCTTTTCGGGATTTATATTAAACCACGTCTTAAAGATCTTTATAATACACCTTGCCCCAATTTTCCGGCCTTGCGTGTTTATGTTTCATGCATGAATGATTCAGAATTTCAACTTTAGGTGTCATATTCTTCGCAATAATGTCCCTCTATATACTGATTGGCTTTTATATATCTCGCAGACCTGTTATGTCCTGTTACTTCGCCAAGCTGCATTTATACCACTCATTCTCTTTGCAAATGGTCAGTAAACATGGCACAGCACCTTTTATCGAGGCTATTTTCACATACTTTCTTTTAATCACTGTTTCACTGCATATATATCTTGCAAGTTATGGACTGAAAAGATGGTCTTCTTCTGGATGGTGATCCTTCACTCCTAATTTGGCGGGCGGTTTTTCTTACTCTTGCAATCACTGCACTTTTCCTTACTGGTTTTGATCTCATCAATGATGATGCATTGTGATTGTCGGGAAGTCCAGGCCCTATCACGTATGATAAGATTTAGGGTTATTTCTTTTATTTCTGGGAGCCATGATTGTATTGAACTATTGGCTTATTAGACGATACCAATTTACTTCTAATCTAAATTACATATTCAATTCGTTTGCACTTTAGATAGTCAACATTTTGCAATGATGAACTTGGCTGGGAAGATGGAGCGGAACATCATTCCCCCGGTGTGTTTCGACCTCCTGAGCCCAAACCAACAAAAGTGTATCGTGGCATTGAACTATCCGCGAGCAGCTGTCAATTGAACACACCCAACCCGCTAGAACACCGTCTTTATCCAAGATGGGTTCTTCGGATTCGCAACTGCGGTCTCTTTTACGCACGCTTTTCCTTCTTTTCATCGCCATCTCCGTCTCTGACGCCTTGAGGTTCGACCTGATTGCCGATACGCACAGCGGGAAGCACGAGCGTTGTATACGCAACTTTGTCAGTCGGGAACAGCTCGTTGTTGTTACAGCCACTGTGAGCGGGACCAAAGGAGATGGACAGGTTGTGAATATGCATGTACGTGGGGACAACCGAAATCTCTACTTTGTTTATTATTTGGGGAAGAATGATGTGTGATTAACTCGGGGGCGCGGGTTCAATTCTACAGATCAAAGATTCCCTAGGGAATGAATACGGTCGTCCTAAAGACGTAGTTGGCGAGACCCGACAGGCTTTTACTTCCCTCGGCGATGCGTCTTTTGACGTCTGCTTCTCAAACGTCCTTTCTGGTCGACGTATGCCCTCCTGAACCCCCCCGGTCCCACATCAATACCCTTTGTTTTTTTCTAACCTGGCATGCCATAAACAGACTCTGGTGCCCTTCCTTTCCGTACCGTCGAGCTTGACGTTGACATCGGTGCCGACGCACGAGACTGGGATGCCATCAAGGTCCAGGAGAAGCTGAAGCCTGTGGAGGCAGATCTGCGGCACATGGAAGCATTGGTTGCTGAGATTGTCACGGAGATGGACTACCTGCGCTACAGAGAGCAGAAATTGAGAGATACAAACGAGAGTACGAATGAGCGTGTGAAATGGTTTGCGTACGGAACCATGGGTATGTTGCTGGGTTTGGGTGCTTGGCAGGTTGTCTATTTGAGAGCGTACTTTAGGTGAGTGCTCCTGATGTCTTTTTTTGTCTTTTTCGTTTTGTCTAGTGTTCTCGGGTTCAACTTATTGAGGCGTTTCATTGGCTGGCCCATGGTTGCTATTGGATATGCATGACTAACGTCCTTTGGCAATAGATCAAAGCATCTTATCTAAGTTGTACGATTTCTTTACTTCGCTTCAGTGCTTATACCCTTTAGCAATGACCGGACTACATAAAAGGTTTACACTCTGGCTAGAGGGCGATGGTTTCGTGAACTGGTTTCTGTACTTTTTGCGTCTCACGGTGTATGTCTACAAGGCGATGAGATTCATGGTGTATTGCAGAATATAATATAATATTATGACGATATGCTCTAGCATAAGGGCCTCTTGGCTTCATCTATTTCATGGTCCAGAGTCGCAATTCAAAACTGGAAATGGGCTGCCTGCCTGGTTACTGGTCTCGCACTGACCGACGTTAGGGACCAGAATCACAAACAATACTCCGCAATAGACAAACATCTTATTCTTTAGGTCTTCAAGGCTGATTCTCGTTTGTATTGCTGCAGTATCAAACCAATCTAGCAGCTTCCAGCCACTAGCAGGTGGGTGCAAACATGTCAAACACACCCGCCGCCGCCTATTCGGCAATGGCAGAAATCGCGGCTTAGAGCAAGCTACATTCACGGCATCGCGACTCTTGAATTTGAACAACCCGGACAAACAGACCATCCATAAGATGAATCACGCTCAGAGCTTGTGCCGCTACCTAGGATGTCTGACCCCTACCAGGTTGCCGCTGCGGACAGGAAAAGTTACCAGATCCGCTCTGAGATATGAGCAATGCACCTTACACCACCGGAGCTTATCCACAAGCAGTTATTTATTAAACAGCAATGGACCGGTACGATCAGGCTCCTCCCGCCGCACAGACAGCCAGTCGAAAAGCGGTATTCCGAGAAAACATGAATTGGAGCTGGGTGAAATGGAGGGCATCACATTTAAAGTTGAGCCGTTGAGGAGAACAGGGGAAGACGTGGCTACGATGAGAGCGCGGTTATTGTGTTTGTTCCCCTCCCCCGTCCACATGGCCGCTAACTAGTATAGCGTAGAGAAAGAAAGCTGACTCGAACGTGAAAAAAAAAAGACCAATCCCGCAAACGGGGAACCCTCGAGTCCGATCTACTGCTGTCAACGTTTGCCGCTACAAACCTTTCCACCATGTCCAAGTCCGAGTTGGAAGAGTATGATCGCTTTCTGGACGAGAATGATTGGGATATATACTACTGGGCGACGCAAGAGCCGCCCACGCCTGGCACGGAGTCTGAAACCTCGGCGACGACCGGTGCAAGGCCAAAAGACACGGTGACGGAGACTTGGAAGAGCGGAGCTGCGAAGAGTGGCGAGTGGGCGCAGACGGTGGGTGCGTTTAAGCCGGCGTATCGACCGGTGCCCGAGAGATGGGCGAACAGTGATGTTTTGAGGTTGTTGAGACAGCATGTTCAGGATAAGAGTGCACTGGGGGATAAGAGTGGCGCCAAGGCAACGGGAGGGGGACTGGGAAGGATGCCCAATATTGAGGTTTTTAATTCATGAGCTGGATGTGGTGCTGTGCTGTTATGTATATATATACGGATTGCATCGTGGGGGGTTCTCAGGATATGTATGATAGATTTGATATTGTGTACTCGGTGCATATGGGACCATTCCTGGGAATGGCTACTCTGGAAAGCGATTTAGATAGATGCGCACTTGATATTAACGAGGACGCTTCGCTGGATTCCAGCCTGGCGACCTCGCTGTAGTCGTTGATGCTGTTGCTCTGCGAAGATCGGACGGACTCGCTTAGGTCCCAACTGGGGTTAGCGCGCACAACGCAGCAAATCAGAGTGCGCTTAGGGTTCGCTGTGTGTGTCTTGCTTCCTCGACAACTTTTGCGAGCAACCAGCCGTCTCTTCAGAAAATTCCACCGTTGCTCGTCCATCCTCGCTTTCTCTCCGCCCACCGTCGAGGTTTCTTCAAGACACTTTCAGACTTCGAGCAATCATGGCTGAGCAGTTGGTTCTCCGTGGAACCCTCGAGGGCCACAATGGCTGGGTTACTTCTTTGGCGACATCAATGGAGAAGTACGAACAACCACATTGATCCTGGGCCTTGACGACGGTTCGATGGAGTGCTGATTGTTCATGGATTATAGTCCCAATATGCTCCTTTCCGCCAGTCGCGACAAGACCTTGATCATCTGGAACCTGACCCGCGACGAGACTGAATATGGATATCCCAAGCGAAGCCTCCACGGCCACTCTCACATCGTCTCTGACTGTGTACGTTCTTGCTATTGAGGACCCTGCTGCCAATATTGGTGAAAAGAATCGTGCATGGCTGATTAGTGATTGCATGTGATAGGTTATCTCCTCCGACGGTGCCTACGCTCTCTCCAGCTCTTGGGACAAGACTCTCCGTCTCTGGGAGCTCTCCACCGGCAAGACTACCCGCACCTTCGTCGGCCATACCAACGACGTCCTCTCCGTCTCCTTCTCTGCCGACAACCGCCAGATCGTTTCGGGCTCCCGTGACCGAACAATCAAGTTGTGGAATACTCTTGGAGATTGCAAGTACACCATCACCGACAAGGGCCACACCGAATGGGTCTCTTGCGTTCGCTTCAGCCCCAACCCCCAGAACCCCGTCATTGTCAGCTCTGGCTGGGATAAACTCGTCAAGGTACGCGCGCACTTGTCCCGTTTCGCCCTTTTTGTTACAGACCCAAAGGATGTTTTGCAACCTTAAAGTATTTGCTACTTCAGAGCCCTCTGGGCCATGAGACAATTATCACCAATTGCCCTGATCAAAATCACAAATTTCAATTGTTTTACGCATGCACTCCTCTATTGACATGGCTTGCTAATTGCGCGACATCAGGTTTGGGAACTCTCCACCTGCCGCATCCAGACCGACCACATCGGCCACACTGGCTACATCAACACCGTCACCATCTCCCCCGACGGCTCTCTCTGCGCTTCCGGTGGAAAGGACGGAATCACCATGCTCTGGGATCTTAACGAATCCAAGCACCTCTACTCCCTTCAAGCTGGTGACGAGATCCACGCTCTCGTCTTCTCTCCCAACCGCTATTGGCTCTGCGCTGCTACCACGAGCTGCATCACCATTTTCGATTTGGAGAAGAAGAGCAAGGTTGACGAGCTCAAGCTTGACTTGGTTGAGGGTGGCAAGAAGAGCGGCGAGCCAGAGCCAATCAGCTTGGCCTGGTCTGCGGACGGCCAGGTCCTCTTTGCTGGTTACACTGACAACAAGATTCGGGCCTGGGGTATTGTGTCAAGGGCATAGAGTGAGAATTGAATCCTGAAATATTGCTCAAATCAGTATCAGTAATGGGTTGGGATGGACGAGCGATGAGCCATGACTTTTTTTCCTCAAAATCTACAGAAAGAACCAAACTCTGGACTCGGGAACTGTTGACGGGATAGGAACTTGAAAGTAAAGTTTCTGTTGCTGTGTCGGTTTCCGGTTACAATGTCGGGCATAAAAGGGCGTCCTGGTCCAACGAGGGTAGGAAGAAAAACTAGCCATACTTTTGGAGCTTGTGTGTCTCCCACCGTACTGGCTTCATTCTATTTGTCCTTGTCTTTTCTTGCTGCGCTCTTGTTGGTAAATAACCGGAGTACATTCTCGCTATGTTCAACTATGCTCTTATTCCCCAAGCTCTCAGATATCCCACACTGTAGGCCGCGGAGAGTCAATATGGAGACTCAAAGTCATCAATTACTCACTTATCATAACTTTATATTGTACAGGTATCGCGCGGCACGGCGCAGATTGAGCCTGAAGCATTCAAACTTGCGCCTCAGCCCTTGACACCGCTCTCATACTTTACCTTTGACCCTCTCCAAAGCCTCATTCGCCATGTCCGCGCCGTCAGAGAACTGTATCTTTTTCGATAATTCTATAGTCTCTGCATAGTATTTCTTCGCCTCATTGAAATGACCCTGCATTTCCGCAATCTCTCCCAGATTATACGTCGCTGTCACACAGCCTTGGTCACACTCTTCGTTGCGGACGGGCGGCTGGATTTTATCGGCCACATCCAGAGCCTTCTTGGCCCATTCCGACGCTGCGTAGAGTAACTGGTCGCGCGAGATGGGAGGTAAGTGAGAGCCGGATGTTGTTGCTGTGGGCGGCGGGTTTGGATTCTGTGCTTGCTCGGCCATCTGGCTGGCGATGTTATTTAGGAGGACAACCTGGGCGCAGCTGGTCGGTCGGTCCTGCTCGTCTTCTTTGATAAGAGCGAGGGACTGCATGTATAAGGCGGTGGAGAGGTCGGTTCGACCCCGCTGGGTGTAAAAGTCTGCCATCTCGTTGAACGCGCTGGCGACCTGGGTGAGACTGATGTAGTAATCGCCGTCCCCGGTAACGGGGAGGTTCTTATCCCGACGATACTGGACCTCGGTGCGGCATAGGTCGACAGCGGCCAGGAGTGCCTGTTCGGCTTTGTCTGTCTCTCGAACATGGTCGCTCGAGTAAAGCTCTGCAAGTCTGACGCAGGAAGCGGCAGCCAGTTTCATCACAGAGGAACGGCGCTGTTCCTCTGCTACTTCTTTTTCCAGCTCAATCCTCTCTGCCTCTATAGCAGCGGGATCGTCTGTCCGTTTGTCGCTTACCGCGCGCTCATTCTCCCTGATTATTTGCTTCCGCCTCCCGTTCCTTACCCACTCGATACAGTCCTTCTGGACCTTCTCCGACACCTCAATCGCCGCCTTCATCATCCCCGCCTTTTCCAGCATGCGCCCTACCTGCATCCTGATCGCCAGCACCTCTTCCGAAAACGGATGCATACCAACCTGGTCTGCCGCAATGAGCGCCTGCTTATACCATTGAAGCGCACGGACGGGGTTCAGATCGAACTGGGTATAATAGACCGCTTTCCGTAGCCTATCGCCCACGGCGGGCGGATACCGTGCGTACTGAGGCTCGACATGCGTGATATGGTCGTATATGACGTAGAAGAAGCAGCAGACCGAGCCGACGGCAAATGCGAGCATGACTGGCATCCCAAAGGGATGTTTGCGCCAGACATCCTTTTTAGCTTCGTTGAAATTGTCGCGGAACTTGTCCCAGATGGTATAGGATCGGGATTGAGGAGCGCGGGCGGTATGTGAAGCAATCTTTTGCGGCCGGAGGAAAACGTTGTTTCTGAAGGGAAAGGGATTCCTTTGCGCTCGATGGAAGATGAATCGGACGGGGAAGAGAAGAGCTGTTGGTCTGGCGGGCGGAGAGGCGCTGATGCGCCGGAGGGCTTGGTTCAGCATTTGCGCGAGTGGGATCTAACTCGGCATATCATAGCTCGGGTCGATGTTAGTATTTTCGTGTCGAAAGGAGGGAAGCAGGCACCTGTACGTAGAACCAATGCTCATCAACCGACAAAGAGTCTTCGTTTAGTTTTATATTGCGAAACTTTGGACGATAAGAGCCGCCTTGGCAAGGAAGTTAAACCGGACTTCAGCGACGGCGGTTGGGCTTCAACGGCGCGATTTGGATGTTGAGAGAATGTTGTCGCGTACGGCTTGAAGACAGTCTTCCATCCGGCTATATCTACAATTGAGAGACCGGTGCTCTGCGACAATGTGTGGCCGATATGCACTGGGTGTTGTATGGATCTCCCCTGGCCTTTCACCAACAAGCGGAACTGGGCTGATGAAATCATATGCAGCGCCTCGCGTTCATTCGCCACCAGCTACAGCAACAAGGACAACCGGTGGACGACGCACCCGACGATGATGAAGTGAGAGAAACCTACAATTTTGCGCCGGGATACTTTGGGCCCGTCTACCGGGCGGACACCCCCGACCAAGGCGGCTATGATCCCGCTGAGGCTCACGATGGCCAGCAGCGTGCGCCGGGCCAGCAGGAGTCAGAAACTACGGGCGAGCCACAGGACTCCCGGAAAGAAGGCGGAGAAGAACATGTTAGGTACAAGCTACAGAGCATGAAATGGGGCCTGATACCGTTTTGGACGAAGCGTTCACCGGACTATGGATCGTTGATGCGAACAATCAATTGCCGCGACGATTCCCTGGCGGAGAATAAGGGAATGTGGACATCGATGAAGAAACGAAAGAGATGCGTGGTCATTTGCCAGGGGTTCTATGAATGGCTAAAGAAGGGGAAGGAGAAGATGCCGCATTTTATTCGCCGCAAAGATGGGAATCTGATGTGTTTTGCTGGGCTGTGGGATTGTGTCAAGTACGAAGGTATGGACTTCTCTAATCTCAGAGGCTTTATCCTTGGGAATATGGACTAAGGATCACTAGGCTCGGACGAGAAGCTCTACACATATACGGTCATCACCACTTCTTCCAACGCCTACTTGAACTTCATCCATGACCGTATGCCTGTTATCCTAGAACCGGGCAGCGCCGAAATGGCGGCATGGCTAGATCCCCATCGGACGACTTGGACCAAAGAGCTACAGTCCATGCTGAAACCTTACGAAGGGGAGCTAGAAGCTTATCCAGTGAACAAGGATGTAGGAAAAGTAGGAAATAACTCTCCGGATTTTATTATCCCAATAAACAGCAAAGAGAACAAGAAGAATATTGCAAACTTCTTCGCAAATACACAGAAGAAGGCACAGGGTTTGGAAGCGAAACCCAAGCTTGAACCTCCAGCAGAGGAGCACAAGACTGCCAAAACCGCGGGCATCAAACGCGAGCATGACGAAGAGACCGATGTACCACGGTCAAAGGTTGCCAAAACAGACGATGCCCACCACCCGTCGGTCAAACTAGAGGCTTCGTCGCCAACGAAACCGGCGCCGGCCTCTGCGAGGAAAACGCGGAGTGCTACCAGTAACAATACGACTGCCGGCAAACCAGGCGATACGAAGAGGACTGCACATGGAAACCAGAGAATCACGAATTTTTTCAAGAAGTAATAATAATCAACGGCGAATATCCGCTTGTGATACGCAGATATCAGCGCTGACTGATGTCTTACATAAGCCATCTCCCGCGATTGCACTCCGTCTTCGGCTCGACATCAACGCTGGCCGACAGCTTCCCCGCTTCACAACGGCGACCAGCACGAGCGTGGGAACGGCCCTGCAGCCAATTGCTACTGTTTGCGCGCTGATCCGTTGCAATGGACGACCTGTAAACATCCCGGGCTTTCAAACCGACTCCGGCTAACGACCCCGGATCGACACGGTTGAACCTTGTCTCCATATCCTAGGCTGCTGGATATATAACCTGAACTTCGGGCTATACGAAATCTTTGATTGTCTCCGTCGCGTTTGGCTAGTTTATGACCTGTTCTATGCGCCTTTCTGACAGAGGCTCTTAAGGTCCATTCGAGCAGCCTTCCTCCATTATGTTGTTAGCTTTTCTCTTCAACCCGTATATTATTGCGGGATTTACAATCTGTTATTTCTATATTGTACCATATCTACAGCGGTGGGACCTGCGTGATATTCCGGCGCCTTTCCCCGCTTCCCTGTCCCATCTCTGGCTTTTGTATCAAAGCCGGAAGGGAAAGAGATACCAGGCCGTGCATAATGCCCATGGTAAATATGGTAAACTCGTGAGAATCCAACCGAATCATGTTTCCGTGGCGGACGCCGATGCTATCCAGACAATATACGGCCATGGGAATGGGTTTTTGAAATCGTGAGTGTAATTGAATCGTACAATGGTTTGCATTCGTGAGCTGTACATAGTTCCCAATTGCAGGTCTTTAATCTGTCTTGATACTGAATTTGGACCCCCATAGTGAGTACTATGACGCCTTCGTATCCATTCGCCGCGGCCTCTTTAATACGCGGAACCGCGCTGAACATACCCGCAAACGGAAGACCGTTTCCCATACATTCAGCGCCAAGTCAATTGGCCAATTCGAGCAGTATATCCATGCGAATCTGCAACTTTTCCTTCAGCAGTGGACCCAGATTTGCGATCTCCAACGAAACCCCAGGTCCGGCTATGCATCCATCGATGCCCTGAACTGGTTCAACTACCTTGCCTTTGATATTATTGGCGATTTGGCTTTTGGCGCTCCTTTTGGCATGCTGTCCAAAGGCAGAGATGTGGCGGAAATGAAAAAATCTCCCAATTCGCCCGCTTCCTATGTTCCTGCCATCCAGGTCCTCAACCGCCGCGGAGAAGTTTCCGCAACCCTTGGCTGTTTCCCAGCCCTTAAACCATTTGCAAAATATCTCCCGGATCGATTCTTTCGCGACGGACTAGAAGCGGTGGAGAACTTGGCTGGTATCGCCGTAGCTCGGGTGGCTGAACGACTTCGCCCAGAAGTAATGGCTAAGAATACGAGAGTGGACCTTTTATCCCGGCTGATGGAAGGCCGTGATGAGACCGGTGCAAAGCTGGGCCGCGAAGAGCTTACTGCAGAGGCATTGACGCAGCTCATCGCGGGCTCCGACACGACTTCAAACACATCTTGCGCCATGCTTTACTGGGTTCTGAGAACTCCAGGCGTTATTGAGAAACTGCAGGAAGTTTTAGATGAGGCGATACCAGCCCACGTTGAAGTTCCAACGTTTTCGATGGTCAAAGATATCCCTTAGTAGGTCATCATCGTATTGGCCAAGTTTGGTTAGAGGTCATAACTAACCCCAAGTCTCAGTCTGCAGTGGGTTATCCTAGAAACAATGCGCATCCACAGTACATCATCACTCGGTCTTCCTCGTGAGATTCCGCAAGGCTCACCCCCTGTCACTATTCAAGGTCACGTTTTCCACCCAGGTACCATTCTCTCTGTCCCGGCGTACACCATTCACCATTCGTCGGAAATCTGGGGCCCTGACGTGGAAGAATTCGTCCCGACTCGATGGGATCCCGCCCGTCTGACCGCGCAACAAAAGGCCGCATTTATCCCCTTTAGCCACGGCCCTAGAGCTTGTGTGGGGAGGAATGTCGCGGAAATGGAACTCCATTGTATCGCGGCGACGGTTTTTAAGAATTTTGAGTTTCAATTGGAACAGAATGGTCCCATGGAGACGTCAGAGGGGTTCTTGCGGAAGCCGCTTGGGCTACTGGTTGGAATCAAGAGAAGGCAGTTGGATCCGGTTGTGAATTAGTTATACTAGTTTGGGAATGCTTTTGTTCTGTCTAACTACCGGCTATGTCCCAGGGGTTACTTGCTTGTTGGTCTTAATTAATTGAGGAATTAGAATATTCGGTGCAATTTCTCCGGTAGAGTACTGCATGGACACGAATGCTCCGATTACATCCCTTCAAATCTGTAGCCAATCTCTTCATTTGAAATTGAAGCCTCGAGTGCTCTACCTTAGATGAAAAGCATCACTCTCCGTGCAGAACTGGAGCACATATGCATATTATGTTGTACCAGATTGTTTCCGTCTACCACCGGAAAGGAGCCCAGGCCTCCGGTTCTATCTTGCATACCTTTCTACGTTTAATTCCCTAGGCAAACTTCCGATCCGCTCCTATGACAGCTTCCTCATCCGCCTGAGAACCCACTCAACCAACGTTCCAAAATCCTCACAGGTTTCAAGCACTCGCGAAATCTGCGTACGTAATCTCGTCGTTTCCGCTGCGCGTTCCTCCTCAAGGACATCGTCAGTTGTGTCAGGCCATAAGCCGGAAAGATGTGATATGTTAATATCCCCATTGAGGCCGATGTCGACACCAATCATGGCCTGTCGAGGTGTCAATCGTGCTGAACGAGATTGGGCCGTCACCGAGTCCTCGTCGATGTTGAAGACGAGGAGAATCGAGGGCTGGAATGACATTGGTGTTCTGAGCGAGACGTCAACTCGAAGTTCCTTGGTGGCGAGTCCAGGGCTGGCTTCTTGTGATGGGTTACAATTGTTGTGTCCCTTCCTTAGTAGTGCGTCCAGTCTTTGTTCGGTGGGGTTGATGTTGCTGATAAAATATCCATTTGGTCTCGATTCTCGGTAGAGCGGAGGGGAAAACGTTTCTTGAGCAGGCCTGCCGGAAATGTTTTTGGCCTCCTTTTTAGAATCAGCAAAGGTTCGTCGTAGAAGTGATGAGAGAAACGCGTATTGTCGTAAAATCTGGAGGATTCTCGTTAGAAAGCAGCGCTGCTGGGGGGAAAGTGTGGATCAACTACTCACAGGGACGACCTCCGATAATTGTCGAGGGTGTGAAAAGGGTAGATCACGGATCGTTCGGCCTGGGACTTGTTCAAACGCATTAAAGGTATATGTGTGTTGTCGTTTTATCGACTTTCCATCAGCATCAAAAGTGCTAATTTCCTTTCTATGCTGGAGCTGCTTTCCTTCGGGTTCGGTGTAATTAAGCAAGTCTCCCTGTGAAGAAACCACAAGGCTATCATAAGTGTTTGATTTGAATTCTTGCATCATATTCACGCCTAAAATACGGAAGATCTCAGCGGCAGCAAATATGGGCATATCAACCGGCGGATCAAGCCGCGCAACAAATCGTATATTAGGCGTCGTTGAGGATAACATCGTTGGCTCCAGGGCCACCGCATTATTGTTTAGAGAAGATATTAACGTGGCAGGGGGTTCGGACCAATTGATCACTTTGATCATATGGTCGTGTTCCGTACCATCTTCGTTACTGATAACTGTGAAAACTTCGGATTCAATCCAATCTTTCGACACGCGAAGCGATGGGTATCCAGTTTCGCATTCGATATTGGCCCCCCAAAAGTTGCCAGCGGCATGGAGCCCCTTATCGTCTTCTTGAGCCGGATCGTCAAGTTCCATCGCATCTTCCGACGGACCACGTTTGGCCTCAAGTATGCGCCTCTGTTCGACCCAGTACTCTAGCTCTAGTCCAATATGCTTGCCCCGGTGCATGTAAGGCTTGCCAATCCATCCCTTGCATATGTGATCCAATTGACCTGCCTGCATACCCTGTCGTTTTTCCTCCTCCCAGACTTTTTGTAAGCATTCGTAGATTCCCTCGAGAGCCTCAAAACAATTTATTTCCCTGCTCAGCTGATCGAGCCTGGCTAAGCGCCGCAGATTTTCATGAAATCCAGTCATGGATTTCCAATGCTGAGGCTGCTGCTCGTCAGGCGCTTGCTGCAGGTTTCGTTTCAACACTTCTGATGCGTCCACCCTTCGCTCCCCTTCCGGTGCGTCGTGAGTGGCATACCTCAATGTCACATCTTTCACAGTCTCCTGGCCAGGTTCGAACCCAATCTCCAGGTCAACAGAGTTCCCTGCTATGCTCAAATCATTATCTTGCCACATACATTCGAGACCTTCAAGCCTGCCGAGCCGCTCAACGCCCTCACGGCTCACACCTCGCCCGGCAACGCGGGTCCGAAGTAACTGCACAGCTTCATCTATTCGCTTCTTCCGCTCTTCATCGATATCCTTTGGTCCAGTGATATTCAGCGGCGGAATTGCGATTGAATGCAAATCACCGTCATTGAAGCCCTGGCCGCCAAGGGCATCGTTGGGCGCTGGAGATGGGGTGATCCCGCCTAGACCAAGTGCCAAAAGCGCTGATGGAGAACTGAATACAGCTGCATCCTCTAATGCGGCTGTCGTAACAGGGAGAGGAGTGGGATATTGGTGAGATGAAATGCTAGGATGGTTTTGATGCCCAGGACCTGAGGCTGAAGGTGTTCTCATAGAAGGGGACTTGTGTGAGAGTGGGCGTCCCATTGGGACTGCCGACGGGTGAGGAGAAGACGTGAACTGGTTGGGTGTCGTACCCAGGTTGCTTTTAGAGAACGGAGTCGCCATAGTTGATAACTGCTTCCAGAAAGGCGCGCCTCTAAAAAGGTAGGACAGAGCTTGCGGAGAGCAGCCACTGAGCACAAAAGTTCCCCCAGTGTAAGCAGCACCGGCTCAATAGTTATATAGCTCGTCAATGTCCAGGTTGATTCTATGTCGTTGAGACTAAATGTCAGGATCGCATGCGGCCGGCCAGGGCGGATCATCGTCGGGCCGAGCAATTCTCACGGCCTCAGTTCGCACATCACTTCCGTACAAAAGGAGAAAAGAAAGGCAAGACAAGCACACCTCCCAGTGACTCATACAATAGCAGTTTCTTCATGGTGGTTGTCTGTTTTCCCTTTGACTACGAATTTGCATTCCAGTTTGACCTTGGCTTCCAAGACACAGCTACATACATGCAGACTTTGTTGGATACTAGTTGAACTACCATCCGGATTGCGCCATTGCTCTTCTGACTTACTGGCAAGCAAGTCACCTATGAGATCAAGAATACGATCTCAACCATAGTATCCAAATATGGAATGTTTGGTCTGGATATCGAAATCTGGGATCTGTCCTTGGTCTGTCGGGTATTCTCATCCTTGCTACAAACAATCTCAATATTTTGCCACAAAAGTTCAGGAAAGCTCAAATTTCCATTGAATATAATTGGTAAGACTATGTACAGAATTGACTTGAAATTCCAAGCCAAAACTAGTTGGGAGTATCAGAAAGGACTTCCCAGGAAAATTCGTAACAGGATCATCAAGTCCATCATAAACCCATGCCTTTCGCAGAAAGGATATTTACAGAGTGAGACATTGGGCGATTTGTGCGGCCGCTTAGTGGCCACTGCCGTTGTAGAGCAGCCTGTTGGTGGTTCGGGAACCAGGGTTGCGGATGGCGGCGTGGGAGAGCTGCTTGAGGCGGTCGCAGACGCGGTTTCCGGGGATGTTCTCAAGAGCCATGATGTAGGCACCAACACCAGCGACATGAGGAGCAGCCATGGAAGTTCCGGACAAGACACGGGTGCGACCACCGGGGGCCAAGGAGGTGATGCTGCTTCCGGGAGCGTAGATGTCGACTAAAAATGTGTTAACACAAGACAGAACGAAAAGCCTTTGGGTATTGTCACATACTGAGAGATCCCCAGTTGGAGAAGGAGGACTTGTTGTCTCTGATGTCAGATGATGCGACGGTGCAGACGGTTGGCTCGGAGGCTGGGGAAGAGTTGCTGGCATCTCTCTATGGGCTAGTCAGCGAGGACTCAGATAGACACGCTGTGGAGTAAGATCTCACGTTGTCATTTCCAGCAGCAACAGCGACATGGAGACCAGCGCGCTGGGCATTGGCAACAGCCATGTTGCTAGCAGCACTGCGGCCACCTCCCAGAGACAAGTTCATGACAGAGCGAGTCTGCATGTTGTTCTGGCGGGCGTGGTTAACAGACCAATCAATACCAGCAATAACGCCAGAGTTGCTTCCAGATCCACGGCTGTCGAGGACCTTAACGGCAATGATTCTGGCCCTCTTGGCGACACCATAGGTCCTTGAGCCAATGGTTCCACCAACGTGGGTGCCGTGGCCGTGGCCATCAGTGTTGCTCCTGTCAACGTGGTTGGATCCCCAAACTGCACGTCCCTCAAAATCGGGGTGGCGGATATCGACACCAGTGTCAACATCATACGCCCAGATGCCGGCACCGGCACTTCTGTCGTAGAAATAGTCGTTGATGCCTACTTGTCTGTTTGAGACACGACCAAGACCCCAGGTTGGGGCATTTGGTTGTTCGATAATGTCGGCGATCTTCACAACCTGATCTTCCTCGATGAATGCGACCTAGATTTTCATTTAGAACCAGAGAAAAGTAACCAAGCGTGGAAGAACTAGGCTAAGAGAATCGCATACATCAGGGTTCTCGGAAATCTCTTTGATGGTCTCTTCATCGAAGACACCGCTGTAGCCCTTCATGTTTTCAAATTCGAAGGTCTTCTTGATGCCGTGGCCCACGAGTGCTCGTTTTTCCAAGTTGGAGTGGTGCATATCGGCGACCCAGGCGCGATGAGAGCCGAATGACTGGGAGGAAACCTCATCCTTCATCACAACGATGTATTGGTTGGGAATGGCATCACGCTCAGCGGAGAAGATCTCGGCAGCGTTGGCCAACGAGGCAGCTGCGAGGACAGCAAAAGTCTTGAAGAAACCCATGATGAAAGCTGAATTGAGACGGACAGTTCCAGACAAGTTGAAGAATGCTTTAACTCAATAGAATCCGGGCGACTTGCAGCCTTATATAAATTTGTGACGCTGCTTCGCCATGTTACCATCGCAAACGATTCATGTCCTAGGCAGTACACTAGGCTATTCCTGCTACATCCGTTCGACAAAGTAACCTCAGATTAGGAGTCAACTGTGGGGGTATAGCGTGCGTTGTGAGCCCATGTTGATGCGGATATTCATGGACAAAGTGTGTAGAGGCCGATGGTAAATTGTTTGTCATCACGAAACCACTTTCAGATCATTCTATCAGAAAACAGCGCAAGTGCTAAGAGTCGGCTAAGAGCTGAGCAGCCTGTAGGCGCCCAAGGTTCAAGTGGATCAGTTCATGACCCATGGAGGGTGACTGAGCGAGAAAAGCCATCACTGGAGGGACAGAGGTTCATTTCATGTCCCCATGGCACAAGCTCACACTAAACCTGCAGGTTCCGATGATCCGCGCAAATATTGCTAGGAGGCGGGAGAAGAGGCCGGAGTTACTATTCCACGCGACCGAATCCATGCAATATCAGCTCTGCATCAAAATTCGACGAAGGTAACGGGGTATACGGGGAAAGGGAATGTTCTCTACTTTCACAAGCAGAGTACAGAGATCTGACCAAACGAAATGCACTCTAGCACACCGTTTGTCAACAGAGGAGAAGCAGGTCGATAGGTTTCCTGATCAATTGAGCAAAAGAATAAACCAGGTAACCGCCACACTTGTTCCCTCAGAGTGATCGACAGCCGAAACTGCGATAAAAACCGGCCTCGAGCGCTGTTTTCGGTCCAAGCATCATCATAATATTGAGAGGGGCCGGCAATACCGCCCTTCTTCGTCTGCTGCACACTCGGCCCGTCTCCCAAGTTCCTCGAAAGTCGGATTTGTTTATTCATTATTGATGACAGGGGCAGACATGAGGGGTGTGGGGAAGGCCAGAAGCAGGGTATCCAGAAGAGGGCGGGTTGCGGGGTCATGAGACCCTCAAGTGACAGACCTTTTTATTTTGATTTCCAGGGGTATACTGAGAATTCCCAAGAGCTCCTTGAGCAATTAGAGAAATAACGCCCCAACCAATCGATTGAAGCGCATGAAACCTGGTCGGCCTCAAGTGCGAAAGCACAGGAGCAAAAAAGCAGTTTGAACTGGGGTTCTGCGGGCCGGGAGAGTGACCACACTACTCTTTCCCAGTTGATCAACGCCATGTACCGAGATAGTCGGCCTAGCTGAATTGGGAATCATTCGATGATGGTGCCCAGAGCAGGGGCTTCGATCACCAGTATCGAAACTGGCATCTGGGGGGTGTGATTTCACCCTCCTCATTGCCAGACACAGTTTTGGAGATACCACTGACGAATCCCAAATCGGAAAAAAACCTCAGGAAGGGCACCAGGAGAAAAGGCTGGGTAGTTTGCATATCTTGTCCTGCACCACCGCTTGTTAAGATCTGCAGCGCATCTCAGCCCGATAGAAACAGCAGGGGTATTGTTAACCTTGAAATTCAACAAAAGCACGCCTCCCACGCCGCCGCCATGTCGGAATCGGAATCGGCATGTGTCTGTTGGCAGGAGGTTACAGAAACGCAGCCGATGGAGGCCGGAGTGTGCCTCCCCGACATCCATGGCGATAATAGCACTGGCCTGGGCCTTAAAGTTAAGTGGCATCAAAGTGGATTTCTCGAGAAGTTTGTAGATTTGTGCCAATTCGCCGGAGTCTCTCGCTGGCATTCAACTCCACGCCGGCAGATCAAGAGGCTGTTTGCTCGCTGGTTCGAACGCGATCGATGACCGGTCGTTGATGCTTGATCGAAGGAGCAGGCGAGAAGGACGAGAAGATGTCGAGATAAGCTCTGTTTCGATTGTTACAGGTTGGGGAAGTTGGCGGCGCAACCGCACGATTTCATTGGCCCAGAGCGAATTACGGTTGCCGATCTCTGTTTCCATTGGCGCAGGTTGGTTACCCGTACGCAGCTGTGACGCTGGTAATATTAAATTGGCAGATGCTTGGCAGCCCTGAATCGAAACAGACAAGCAGTTGATGAGGTCGCAGCGCTTCAATCGTTCCATCATCATTATTGCAGAGCACAGATGTGCCGTGCAAACTGGGCATGATGCTCAAACTCTATCTTCCGGTGACGGGCCTCAGCCTCAAAGTTGGTTACAGTCCTAGATCATCAAAGGTGGGCGAAGGACCGCCGGCCAAATGGCGTGCACAGGCCAAAGGAGGCCTTTCATTCAAGAAGTTGTCCCTGAAGCCAAGAGGAAACCCCAGGAATCCCTAGACGATGCAACCCACAAGGCAATATCAAAAGTCGGCCGACATACAACTCATAATATGAATAATGCAAGCCAAGTTGTTTAGCAGCTATTCAAGCAGTTGGGCCATGTTATCGGAGTACCCCATGTGAACGAATGCTTTTCTTTTTCGCATAAATCTTGCCCTTCTCAAGTGGATTCTTGCCATTTCGAGCCCTCATCCCGCGCAAAGCTCAGGGGGCCAAACTCACTTGCCATGAAGCATTGCGATGGGGGTTTCAATGAATTGGTATTTGGGCGGTGCGCGATCAATATCAGCTCCACATCTAGTAGTCAGTAGTCCACTGGCCCACGATGAAGGAGCGTGGGACGGCAGTTATTCACCAGCTTGCCGGGCGTATCCCAGTTTCTACAGCGTCTCGCGCTTTTGAACGAACATTCCCCATGAACTTCCCCTGTACAATATTGGGACGCCTGTGGCCAGCGATGCCGTAGAACCTGTTGCCTTTGCATCCCGTCAACACTAGCTGGATAAAGCGCCGAATACAACGTCGTCCGCGATGGAAGTTTATGCACAGTATTCCCGTGCAGAAATGTGCAGGGAAAGAGGGAATATTCCAGGACGCCTAGGGACTCGCTGCCATGCTCGGAGTTAAAGGGGCATTATTGGCCTCGCCGATTTGAGTCGTCCAACTCCAGGGCAATCAATGGTCGCGAAATGTTGCTCGATCACATCTGCCATACCGACGATATTTGGGGTGCATTCGTCTGTAGGAGGGAGGATCAGCCAAAATTGGATCCTGGATATGTTGAGACCGTGTTCTTCATAGCCTCCGCGGACTCCCCGTTTGCATGTGGTTAAATTAACTCACGGCGGAGTGGTTAGATGTCAATAATTCGATCCACTAGAATCGACGGCATGCAACGGCGGGACATCGTGCAAGACCACTCTCAGCGACCAAAACCGGCCGAGCCATGCAGCCAACAAGAATTATTTGATTAAATCGTAATGGGGTTGATGGATATAACAATCGGCGTCAGACGTAACGTGCTTTGATGTTGAATCGGCGAGCCGAGGATTGGTGGTTGGCGTGCAGCGCGCCGCGTCGTTTCGATCGACCCACCACGCTTGGTTGTTTGGGGAAGGCATCGACACACGACATGGCATGATATCGTCGCATCGAACGACCTGCCCTCGCACAGTTTGCTTATTGACAGCGAGGTGGCTAATAATACAATCATACCTGCTGGACTGAACAAGTCAAACCGGCGCAATCTACCATGACGCCTATTCAAGGCTCTCTTCGCCAAGGCATCTTCACGCTGCGATCCCTCCAGCGCCGGTCGCTGTCCACCCTCCCAGGACACCCTCACATCGTACGTCGTCGGATCAGCATCTTCTAGAAAAAAGATCCTGCAGATCCTCCCCCCCCCGTCCCCATCCATTAATAGAAGCTACTCACACAGAGGCTCTCTGCAGTTCGTATTCCCCAGCCGGATTTCCCCAAGTGCCCACACCCTCTCGCTCCTCCCCACCGAACCCCCGACGCCCGAGCTTGCCATTGGCGCCACCTCCAAGCTCCCACCATCGCCGGACTCCTTTGTTGAGAATTCCCGCTTCCTCGAGATTTTACAGTCCGTCATCTCCAAACATGCCCACGAAGATCCAGAGGTCAAGTCTCAAGCACAAGTCATGGCCTCCACCGCTGGCGCGAACCTAGGATCAGGAGGAGTGTTTTTCTCCCCACAGCCCCAGCGAAGGAGACCTGCGTACGGCGGTGGTGGCGGGGCGGGAGGTGACTCGAGTGGCGGAGCCAGTGGTCAAGGCGGAGCTGGGTCTGGTGGGCGTGGTGGATTTATACATGTCTCTGATGGGAGAAACCCGCCCGATTACGGACGAATTGCTTGGTATTTGACGCCGCCATGAAACTTGATGGTTTGTGACTGACATTACTGTTATTCTTTAGGCCGGAGGATATATTTGGAAGCTTGGAGGTCGACGGAAATGGCAATATCGAAGGGACTGGGAATTATCAGCCTAGCGGTATGGCCTCTTTAATAGATGATATAGTCCGCCCAGGGCTAGTTCTATCTGAAATTTAACATGGGATTTTGTTTAGGGACCTATCGAATCGTAACAAGGAATGGAATGTATGTATTCCTTGCCCTCTGTTTGCGGTATCATCTCTAATTATATCTAGTCTCGGACTGAGCCCGTTTTTAAGGGAGAAACTCGTCCAACGGTTACGCGCAGAAGAAAAGCGACTACGCACATGATGATACAGTGGAGTTAGCGTGCGATATGTAAGTTTGATAGTTTGGGATTGTATTATAACCTTGGTAAGTCTTGAGGGTATCTTTCTGGGGGCGTCCTTATGTGTGTGATATAAAAGCCTTTTGGCAAAACTTCACTTGTATAGTATAATATTTACCCTAGATGACTCATACGACAACCATCTACTCTCATCGGAATAGCCCTACACTTCGGCGTTCGAGGTGGTTACGGGCGTAGAGAATTCCCCGTCCTTCCTACAACCCACCCCATCATAACCGTCGACGATTGTGCACAACTTGATAATCCCGTTTCCTACAGAACGGATCTCTGACCCAATCGCATGGTCTGCCCCGGTTCATCTCCACGGCGATCGCAGCTCTTCCGAAACAGCACAGAACAACCGGGGCAGTGTAGATCTTTCGCGATCAGCGATGAAATCCTCCTCGAGCGCCCATCCCCATCTCCACTTTCTCCGCCTGATCAGCCCTATCCGCCCGCCCTGCTGACGGAGCATTTTTTTTTTCGAACAAGTTTGGAAAAAGCGCAGAGGAGCAAGTGGCAGGCAAGGGCCCTGGCAGGGAAAGTCTAATAATGCTTAACATCCCCCCCCCCCATGCTGTCGACTGCGGGAAGGAATCCACAGCTTGGGCTAAAACAGCATATCCTAGCTGTGAACTGTGGGCTCTCTAAATCCGGTGTGTGAGGCTTTAGAGGGGCCTGGCGCATAGTATCGGTAGGGGATTGTTTCTCAACGAAACTGGAGGGACTTTTTTTTCTCAATACTCGAAACCTCTTTAAGGGGGAAAGGAAGAGGGACGCATGTACGGAACCCCTATTTCATCATTCAGAACGGAATATTTGAGGGAGCGGCTTCAGGGCCCGTGCCTCATCTCGATTCTGTTCAAGTGTCCTATTTTACCCCGAAATCCCGATATGTTATCAATACATGTCTAACTAGGACGAGAATAATCTGGTGAACATGTCAAGCGTTTCGACTCCCATTCACAGTAGGTCCCAAGCTAGCATCGGTGTTCATCATGGCTAGGATGCTATTTTACGTGGACTTGGGACGTGCAGAAATACTAGCCCAATCACTTCTCTGTCGATAATGATTGAGCGGCAGCCGAACTGAGTGTGAAGCATCTTTATTTGCCGAATCCGCAGATTTGCCTTTCAGCTATCTACGGAGTATTTCAGTCTGTTTCATCACCTGCGAGCCAACAACCCTTTTCGACTGAATGCGTTTCTTAAAATATCTTCGGTTAGCTTACTTGTGACCATCAACTAATCTCGCAGCAGATGCACAATTGAACCATTCTTTTGGCCTAAACCCGTCTATGGGACGGCAAGTCGACAAGTTATCTGCCTGTTGATAGCCAGGAACCTTCCCGAGACTCAACTCAAACCTAAAGGGCCATCTGCCGGATTAACGGCGATTGCTACACATTCCGCCACAGCTTCCTTTAGGCAGCCTCCTTCACCTGCAAATTTGAAGAAGCTTCAGCAAAGAGCGGTTCCGGTTTTGAAGGCAAACAGCACTGTCGCCTCCTGCTTAAACCCCCATTGTTGTAATACACATATTGGAAGTATGCTCTTGGGAGATGAGACAAGAATGCGATCGTCTTGCGGCGTATTTTTAATGCACGGATGAACAGACATTTCGGGGGCAGTAAGATCCAATCATCCTTTCTCGGTTTTCCGTGGCAAGGTCTTCCGTGCTCGTAGTCGGCTTTCAACCACTTGTTGTTAATATAGTGCCAACGATGTGTTTAGGAGGAATGGTTTCTGTAAATGTTCTAGAAATCCACCGTGGCTTGCATCTAACCTTCAACAAGCAGTTTCCGGATCAAGTGTTTATCCTTACAGGAGATGACGTCTCAATTTCAGCCAAATCTCCCCGCACATCCTGGAAGACGAGAAAGTGAAGCCTTCTGCTTCTGCAACCACGAACCGAAAAAGATATCATCCAATATCCGTTCGTCCAAGGCGGTCATCGTGTGCCTTGAGGGTGACCTCAACCTTATCGTCACCAGACCCTGACGTCATCAGCCTAACTTGATTAGGTAATGAGGCAAGCAGAACTCGGCTGCTCCCACAGCCCATTATCAGGCTGTGTATTGTGTAAAACAGAGATGAGATCGAATTCCGAAAATGAATTACATCGTTAATACAAGGTAACTTACTTCTGCAGTGGCAGGTGGAATGTTGATGATATGCTTCCTGGTTGGCCTGCTCAATCTCAAGCGGATCGGTTTTGCGGGGGTGCACGCGAGGATGTAAGAGCCGGTGGACTATGTGACCACGCGCGCATAACTCAGGTTCCGACAGAGGTTGATCTATCACAGTTGCGCTCGTGTCCCGGGCGCAAAAGCGGGACGGAAAGGGGTGTGTCGCAACTCCTGCAAAATCGGTTATCGCGCGTCTAATCTCTTGAAAGCTGGGCGATAACGGGGTGCGAATCGCCAGCGACAGACAAGGATCGGTTTTGATATTCGTCGTGGAGATCTGAGCGTCAACTCGGTGCCTCGGGAGTGCAGAGGCGAGCTTTCAGCAGCCTGAGGACCAAACGTAGAAGGGTCACTATTAGTTTGAGGTGGTTTGATCTGAACGCGTCTCATTCACCCCGCGTTTCCTCAAGTGACGAGGCGAGTCTCCCCTTTCCTGCAAGAAGAAATCCGGAGTCTTCCCGCTCGACTAATGCACCGCGCGGTCGGGGCAGCAGTGGGGGGCTGGCTGGCGAAAACAAGGCTGGTGATAATCAAGGCCAGACTTGGTTGGCCAATCAGCTCGGGAGTGGTTATCTGTGGATTGATGACATGTTTGCTCCAGCCTGGGTTGATCTGCTTTTTCTCAATGCCCGTATAGTAAGAGCAGAAGGAAGAATTGGAAAGAAAGGGGAACAAAGAATTCGATTCTCTTCAAGGATGGCCTTGGGAAGTATTCATCTATACTGTCAACGCCTTGAGACAAGGTTGCCCAGTCGTCGCAGTCGCGAGTTGGCCGGGAATCGGCACCGGGGATTCCAATAATCCGTCTTACATAAGACAGCCTTGTGGCCACAGCCCGACTCCACCCGATGACGGAAGCCAGCCAGCCATCTTGGCGTGGGCTAGCCACATCCGGCTTAGCGGATCCGTTCGCGGACGATAAGCGATCGGCCCTTGCATGAAGAATGCGATCGAGACGGCGAATAACAGCCAATTGCACGGAGTCAGTTGCAGGGTTAGCTAAGCTGAGCTGTATCGTTCTGCACTTCTAGACCGGTCTGCCGCTCACCGTGTTTTGCTTTGTCGTCTGGGATGCGGTGTATTGGTGCCCGATGCCCCTCAGAACGGTCAATTGAGACGCAAGGGATTGGGTGCTGTTGAACCCGGGGGAAGGAAGCTTGGACAAGGGGGAGCTGGAGCCGTGGACTTGATAAGGCAGGCTGGGTGCCTGAAGGCTGAAGCAGCACGCTCCCATGGCTGTTTTGCTTCTTCCTCACCCCTCGATTCCGATAAGCGTCTTTGATAAGCCTATCAATCCTGCAGATTGCTTATCAGGGTTTTGGTGCGGAGGGCCTGTATCTGAATCATCCATCATACTGTATGGAAACACCACCCGTGGTTCTGAAACAACTGCCACGCAAGAGCGAACCGCCACACACACGCACACACACGCAGCAGCCACACACTAAAATCTGTGCCTGAGATCTCATTCACTTGAGACTTGAGCACATCACAGCATGCACCCAGACAAGGAGCATGCAGTGTCCACACAGGGTCAATAAGGAGTGAATAACAAACCAGTCCACACCTCAATTTTTAATGCCTCAGCAACTGGTGACACACAGTGACGGGGTGGATTCACCAGCCACAGGGATAGCGGTGTGGCCACGTGACTTAGCTTCCTGCTCTGCCCGAGGTTTTGGCTGGGCGGTTTCTATTTTCAGCCACGCTAACCCGGTGCACCGCCTCGCGCTAGCTGAGGGATTTAACTTAGCGTATTACAGCCACGCAGGCGGTATTACGGTGACGGTCAGGTAATGGCCCGGCGGAGGATTACCGTAACCACGGGCGAGAAAAACCTGATGGCTCACAACTTCCTGTTCTTTCGCTCTGCTTTATAACTTCATCTTTTCCCACTCCTGCTGCCTGCTCCACTATCTCTTTCTTCCTCCTCAATTGCGATATCTCTTAGCATCTCCTCTCCATCTTTTACTTCATACCAGCTCTTTGCTCTCGCTGAGTTCGTCGGAACATTTGCCCTCGCTTGCCCCTCTCTAGAAACTATTGCTTGATCCAAGTTGCCGCTGTGCAGTCCACCACGCCTCTGAGCTCCTTATCATCTGTCGCCATGGTACGTCCAAGCTGTCTCTCCCCAGCAATCCCATCAATTGCTGCAGATCATGGCTAACCGTCATCTTCATCATAGGCTCCCAAAACCCATATCTCCAATGCGGAGAATGTGCGTTTCCTTGCGTTGCCTTGCATCGATTTGGCTGTCATAGCCTGATCGGTTCACTAACTTGCTGTACAGTTAAAAAAATATATGGAGCTTGATCAGCGGGGAAAAATCATGGCTGAGTACATCTGGATTGATGCCACCAGCGGTGTTCGATCAAAAACCAAGGTGAGTCATCGCCACCCATCCGTCCACCTCAAAAGACCAACTTATCTAACTCGCTTAATGTCTAGACTGTCAACAAGATCGTCAAGTCGGCCGAGGAGCTACCAGAATGGAACTTTGACGGCTCGTCGACAGGTCAAGCCCCTGGAGATAACTCCGATGTCTACCTTCGTCCTGTTGCCATTTTCCCAGATCCTTTCCGCCGCGGTGATAACATCTTGGTCCTCTGCGAGACTTGGGATTCGGACGGTTCCCCCAACAAGTACAACTTCCGCCACGAGGCCAACCGATTAATGCGCACTCACGCCCACGAACACTTTTGGTTTGGTTTGGAACAAGAATACACCCTTCTTGGCCCTGATGGTTGGCCATATGGCTGGCCCAAGGGTGGTTTCCCTGGCGCCCAAGGCCCATACTACTGTGGTGTTGGCACTGGCAAGGTTCACTGCCGTGACATTGTTGAGGCTCACTACAAGGCTTGCTTATATGCCGGCATCAACATCTCTGGTATCAATGCCGAGGTTATGCCTGCTCAGTGGGAATACCAAGTTGGCCCTTGTGAGGGTATTGCGCGTGAGTTTTAAACCTTGATTCGTTTTACACATTGGTCACTGACCGAAACGTTGTGTAGTTGGTGATCAGCTTTGGATGTCACGTTTCCTCCTCAGCCGCGTTGCCGAAGAATTCGGTGCCATCATCTCCTTTGCCCCCAAGCCCATTCCCGGAGAGTGGAACGGTGCTGGTCTACATAGCAACGTCTCTACAGAGGCTATGCGTAACGAAGGTGGTATCAAGGTCATCGAGGCTGCGATGAAGAAACTTGAGGCTCGCCACTTTGAGCATATCGCCGTCTACGGTGAAGGTAACGAAGATCGCTTGACTGGACGTCATGAAACCGGCAGCATCGACAAATTCAGTTGGGGTGTTGCAGACCGCGGTGGCAGCATTCGTATTCCTCGCCAGGTCGCAAAGGATGGCAAGGGATACTTTGAAGACAGAAGACCCGCCAGTAATGCCGACCCCTATCAAATCACCGGCATTATTGTTGAAACTGTGAGTTTCCAAAATCCTCCCCAGGCTAGCACTGGAGCGTTGACTAATGCGTCTTTTTAGCTCTGCGGTGCTTCTTAAATTCTCTTCATTTGCATTTCCCTTATACCCCACTGGCGTCACACTTGGAGACTGGCGGCTAGGCAAGAAGTCATGTCACTCATAATTAGACTGTTGTGTTATTGCTCTACCATTTTGTCCATGCTTTAGCCCATCTCGGGATTCCCGATACGGATTTATTGTTACCCTCTTTTCACCCCCTAATGTTTACCCCTGCTTGATTGTTCTCCGCGAGCATAGATCCCAATTTCTGTCTTTTGACTTTCTATTCTTTTCTTGAACTGCCCTCGATGGATACATGTCCTACATGCTTTCCAAATGATGTGCAATTCTTTCGCATTGAAAAGAGCCAGAGTGGGTAAACAAGAAAAACGGAGCTGAGTTTCGCTAGAGAAGTACCAAATTGCAATCACTTTCGGTGAGAATGTCAATTCTATCCACGAGTATTGCTGGTAATCATCTGGTAAACCCGAGGGCCGCGATATATATACACGATTGCGCCGAGTGTCCCGAAAGCAAAGATTTTCTCGTTCGACCGTCTGGCATCTTGATGATTTATGGGTTGTTGGTTTGTATATTATCATGGCATTGGGTCGGTGTATCTGCATAGTGGGTGGTTTGTGTTTACCGAAGCATGACTGGATGCTCGAATGGATATTGATAGCTGTGTGCACGCTCACTATGCCTGCGGTTTCGAGCAGAGACCGTACTCCCATAGTAATTCCACAGTAATAAGGATGAAGACCAATTTTTTGGATCACGGATCGGCTCTATACCAGCAGCCTGTAGCTACAACGATCAAGGTGTATTTACTACTTTGTTATATCCATCTACTCACCTGTTCAACCACCTCAGAAACCACACTCCTTCCAACCCCCTCTGCCTCACCTCCCTCTTCGCTGCCCCATCACCACCATCCCCAGCAGCACCCTTCTTCCCATCCACAACCCTCAACAACACCTGCATCACCACGGCGGCCCCCACACTGCCCAGCAACATCCCAATCAACACCCAATTACTCTTCCGATACTGCCTCCCTCCCGTCGCCACACGATCGCTCTCCCACCCCGCATACAGCGCATACGTGCTCACGATACTCCCCAGGTTCCCCAGGCCCGACACCACGGCGGACGCGGCGGCGACGCCCACCTCGCCGTGGCGCGGCTGGAAGACCTCGCTGGTCCAGGTCATGGCGATGGGGACGGTGGGGCCCAGGCCGAAGCCGACGATGAGGAGGCCGGCGTAGCGGGGCCAGGGGTTGGTGGTGGGGTTGCCGGCGTAGGTGGTGAGGAGGAGGCCGAGGATCTGGAGGGTGGCGGGGAGGGAGAAGAAGAGGGCGCGGTGGTGGTGGAAGCGGTCGGAGAGGGGGGTGATGAGGAGGATGGCGAGGAGGTCGGACTACATTGAGGGGGTTAGTTCGTGCGGATAGTATATATAAGTTATATGGATTGGGATACGTACGATCCAGATGGGAGCGAAGAGGAGGCTTAGTTCAATGCTGGTGAGTGACGGGTTGGTGGAGCGGATGATCACCGTGCCGTAGCTTTGGACGCCTATCCCGACGCCGACGACGCCAAAGTACATGATTAACAAGGGCCAGAGGCGCCAGTCCATCAGGACGCGCGCGAGGTCCGACAGGGTCCATTGCGTGCGGTGATACACGCGCTTCAAGTCCCGGTAGTGAATCGCGGCGTCTCTGCCCGTCAGCGCCGGCGGCGTCCGAGGGAGGAATCTCGTCAGTTTACCCGGCGGCATGGGCGCTTCGCCTGGCGGCAGGGGCCGTTCGGGAAGCCACCAGAGCAACGAGATCCCCGTGACGACGCCGCAGAGTCCGTAGACGAGGAACATCCAGCGGAATCCGACGATGCCTCGCGCGCCGTCCATCTTCTGGAAGCCGGCGGATACCAGGCCGACGACGGCGGCGGAGACCTGCGCGGCGGTGAAGTACAAGCCAATCCGCTTGCCGGTGCGGGATGGCGGGTAGAAGAGCGTGAGGTAGTAGGCCATGCCGGGCCAGAGGCCGGCCATGACGACGCCGAGCAGGAGGCGGAGGAGGCTGGCGCGGGGAGCAACGTTAGATATATCTTGTATATAAAATATATATATGCCAATCAAGGACTTGCGAATCTTCGTCACACGTACTACAACGACCACGCCGCCTGGACCGCGGCCATGCAGCTTCCAATCACCCCGACACCGATGACGATTCGGCTCATCCACACCCTGGGACTGAGCCTGGTCATGATCAGGTTCGAGGGCAGGTCGAACACCACATAGCAGACATAGAACAGCGCCAAACTGGTCGAACTCTGCTGCGGCGTCATGCGCAGGACGGACCCGAGATCGTGCTTTTCGGCCAGGTTCATCGTCTGCGAGAGACCGACGGTGGATCTGATAGATGCGCAGAGGAAGTAGAGGGTCCAGAAGGGGGGGATGATGCGCCAGTCGAGTTTTCTAACGAAGGTGGAGCCGGGTTAGTTAGCTAGCTAGCTCTCAGGTATATATCACCAAGCCGTTGGAGCAGGATCAGAGTGTGTATAGCTACCGGTATATCCGATCAATCTCTGCCGCAGTGGGCGCGTCGGCGGTTTCGCAGTCGACGATGCCATTGGGAAGAGTCTCTTCGATGGATGATTTCCCGGATTCTTTGAAGACGGGAACAGTCGCCGGCTCCTCCTGCATGGCGGCAGAGGCTTCGTGTCGCCTGCTTCAGAGAGATATATGAGTCTACTCTGTACGGAGTATGCTCTTCAAAATTGTTGCTATTCAGAATTTGCGGATTGAATCAAAGCCTAAAAAAACCCGACATCAAGCTGGATTGACAATCAAAAAACCCCAGACATCGCAAAATCTCCCTCCCATGGGTAATATAATATATCTTGACTGTCGGCCGGGGGGGATACCGTTGTGTTGATCGTTTGGTCAGTCATGCAGAATCGGAATCTTCGTATAAATTCAGAAATAAACTTCTTCGAGCTTGTCTTCTCGCTACCTTTATGCCAATCAAAATGCGTCTGGTCCCGCTTTATCCCTGCGATTGCATTGAAACCGACAAGGGATGTTGAGCGCTGTGCAATGGTTCTTCGCAAAGGGGGTGGGAGAGAACGGGCATGCTGGTTATTGATGTTCTATTCCCTACTCCGTACAGTATCTGAATGAGTTGGAAACTGTTTATATTCTCAAAACTAGTCCCTAAATAAAGTCGACGCCTTTGAATCATTACCCTACGTTTAGTAGAAGATCGTGTATTACTGATTCATAGCCTAGCCGTGACCTTTGTTTCATGCAACGCCTTTTCAACCAACGTCGCCGCCTCAGCGCAAGATCCGAAAGAAGCTTGATAGCCGAACCCGCCGTGGCCATAGTTGTGCACGATAGAAACACCGTTGACGCTATCTCGCTCCACGCGTGGCCCTCCTTCTCGGAGCGGCCGCAGGCCAACACCATGGCGGATGATGTCGAGCGCTTCGATGCCTCGTTGATTGCCATGCGCGTCTTTGCCCACTAGTTCAGGGCAGATTGCTACGCATCGCTTCATGATACGCACGGCGAGGTTGGGGTCCGGCTGGCTTTCATAGTTGTGTCGTTGGTAGCAGCCCCCTAGGATGGTTCCACCGCCTGGAGTTGAGTGTTAGCTGGTAGATAGATTCGTGGCTACGAGTAGGGACAGGGATTGCTTAATCCGTAGAACATACCAGCTGCCCTCGTCATGATATATCCCGCCTCGTCAGGACCATCATCGGTTCCCGAGAGAGAGTACATTGCCGGAGCTACATTGCGAACGACAACCACCTGGCCGCGGGCGGGATAGACCTTTGAATCCGCTACACCACCCAGGTACTTTGAGGATAAGCCAGTACAGTTGACAACCACGTCGGCTCGCTTGCCAGAATGATGGGCGCCAGCTGCATCGGCAATGTGGCTGAAAACGGCGCGCTTGAAGACGACGCCGTTCTTGCGGCACTGCGACACAAGCCATGCAAGGTAGACGGGGGCGTTGAGACAAATGGATGTAAAGCAGTTTCCGTTGTCAAACCCAGCGGGTAGTTGTTCTTTGGGCAGGGCACGGAACTGAAAATGGAACAAGGTGAAGGATTAGCTTGATGGGAGATATCAGAGTGTGTGCAAGAAGCATACATCTGGCACAATATCTTTATACCAAGGGTTAGGCTTGATTAATTCTTTGAACCAGACTCCCGTTTCCGATCTCGCGTCTTTTAGACGGTTGTACACAATGGAATCTAGTAGTAAGGACGATTAGCAAGGCTCCTGTGCTATAGCAGAACCTTTGGAAGATCAATTCAAGCCAACCTTGAAAATGGATCCCAGCCTCGGGGTTATTTCGAGCCAGCTCTTCAAAGACCGGCCAGGTATTCGCCTCCCATCGCGCATGGGCGCTTCCCTTGGCTCCTACGCTGCTCTCACGGGGTTAACCTTGCTGCTGCTCCAGCAGGGCAGGCGGGCTATGGCTTACGGGAGAAAGTTCGCGCCGGCCCATGGAGAGCAGTATTCAACATCGTAGTCACCGGGCATGTGCTTTGCAGCAACCGTGATCTCATTTGCCTTGTCCTTGGAGAGCAGATACGCGGTCGTCAAACCAATCACCCCTCCTCTAGCTCATCCATGAGTACTAGGGGGCGCAGGCAGATTCACGGGGGAGGAGCTCACCCGATAACAACGATCCTGTTAGCCGCCATTTGTCCGTGATGCAAAGATGGCCTCTCGACGCTTTCAACAGCGAGCTCGACGGTGCCGCAATGGTTGTCGGTCGGGTCGTGTTGCGCGTGGGGTGATGCTCGGATGACTGGCCAAATAGCCGACTGTCGCGCTTCCCGAACGCCGAGAGATTTTGATGCTTTGTTTGCCGACCGAACCACGAACTAGTTATTTACCACTCTGCAGCGACGACGAGAGACCAATTCCCCGCCGCTCTACGACTGCTAGGACTACAAGTGAGTGCGGGATATCAGATACTGCCAACCCCAAGGCCCAGCTATGGTTCTCGCACCAAAATATCAGCAGCCAATTCTACTATGGATACCAAAGGCGAGTCAAATGGGACAAGCAGAATGAAGATGCCATTGACGAGCAATAATATGGCCGCAGCTAGCAGGTCAATGCTGGTCAATGGCTGCTGTGTTGTGAGTGAATACTGAATGGGCCACGAGCAGCATCTGACAATGGAATTGACACCAGGGACTGTCTCTCACCCAGCTCTTTTCTTCTCTTCTTTCTTTTCTCTTCTTCTTTGTCCTCTCCAATCTCTCTCCTCTCATAGAGTGATTCGCCTTTCTCATCGTTCATCTCTTGTCCGCGACTTTCTAAGATATTCGGATCGGTCAACGTTTAAATTACATAATCCTTGCCAAGCCACTAGGTAAGAATGACGCCAAGACTTGCCGGGTGCCTCCTTCCTTTTTCCCATCGAACCGCGCGCTTGCCTAAACTTTCCACGTTCGGTTCCGTCGCTCCTTCCCGCTTTCTTTTTTTCTCCCAGCAGGCCCTTCCTTCAATTGCTCCTTCCCCTCCTCCCGTCTCCTTTGTTTGTTTTTGTTGTTGCTTGGGGGAGCCGCTGTTCCCTCAAGTGTCCGGCTTCATCTCCAATGCCGTTGCTACAGGTCACACTCTTGCAACCATGGCTGACGCAACGTTGCCTCCTGCCGCCAGGATTGTGCCCGTCATGGCGCGTGCAAGGCCCAAGGCACAGTCCGCTGGCCAGAGCGCGCTTTCCTCCCGCCGGAACTCGGCCGCGGAGATCGAAGTGTCCGATCAGCGTCTGAAGGAGCGCCTGGAGGAGCTGAATTGCTACCCAGCCGAGACCACTGGGGATGGTAAGCAATGCACTAGTCTCTTGTTGGCTTGACGGCTAACCGGAATTCGTCAATCTAGGCAATTGCCTGTTCTACTCGCTGTCGGACCAGCTGTACGGCACCCCAGACCGGCACGACGAGGTCCGCCGGCGCTTGGTGGACCACATCCGCGAGCACCGAGACGCCTTCATCCACTTTGTCGACCTCGGTCCTAACCGGCCCCGATCTACACGAGAGGCCTCTCGGCAGGCAAACAGATTGTTCGGCGGTGTTGGCTCGGTTCCGAGCACGGAGAAGATTGACTCGAAATTCGAGGATATGCTGCTGAAGATGGGGGAGCCACATGAGTGGGGTGGTGCTTTTGAGCTCCAAGCCTTTTGTCAGGCCTATGCGCGAGACATTATTGTCTACCAGGCCGACAATGTACAGGAGTTCACCAGCAACCTCCACGATGTGGATCCGAACCGGAAGACCGTGCATCTTGCATTCCACGTAAGCTTTGCTACCCGAAACCTGGCTATTCCATGTCTTAATTCTTCTTCCCCAGGGCTACCAGCACTACTCGTCGGTCAGAAGCCTGGATGGGCCCCGTGAAGGGTTGCCAAATCTTCCACGGCGACTTGAGGGAGCTGACGCCCAATTTGTTACGGAGGAAGTCAGACGGCATTCTGTCGCGACGCAGACTTCCCCAACGTCGTTGGCCCTAGCGGAGCCATGGAAAATCAGCACCATCGCCGAGGCGCTTCCTGGCCTGGACTACGACACGATCAGGGCGGTGTTGATGAAGTGCCGGGGAGATATTGAGTTTGCCTTCTCTCGTCTTCTCGATGATGACTTGCCCTCGTCATCACAGTCCCCTGACACCACTACGGATACTGAGACTTGTCCGGTCGTCCCCCAAACCCCAGCCGGACATCTCAATCCAGCGACTCGGGCTTATCTGGGAGCTTCGTCAAGATCATCTTCCCGCCATAGCACTGGGAGCAAACGCCCCGCCGACCTGAGTGAAGACGACGACGAGGAGCCGGTTCGATCCGGTGTTCGCCGCCGTCGCGCTCGGGAGCGGAAGCGCCGTGTCCTACAAGATGTGACGGTTGGGATTTCCGTAAGGGGTGACAACAAAGATGACGTCATATCCATCCAGCTACGGGTTGATCCGGACGCTGTGGTTGAGCCCCCAAAGAGGGCTACCACGCCGCAGGATGACAGCGGTGATGATGCAGGCAGAGTTGCTGCAATTGAAGTCCCTGACGAGGACGCAACCATCAGTACGGCCAAGCTCGAGCGTTCTGATGGCTCCAACGACAGCACGGTTGCGACTGGCAGCGAGTGACTAGATTTGATTTGAGGATGGCGCACTATTTTCTGGGTCTTTAGTTTTATATTACTCGTGGATAAAGCGGTGGTTTTGTTTTCGCGTTAGACGCGACTGGATTGACATAGCATGGTGTTTTGGTGTTTGAGGTGGCGCGGGTTGACCTGGCATAGGGGTCCCGGACATGGACTCTTCAAAATTACGTCTGTTATTTTTGGTTTTG